AAAATGTTAGCGGATAGTTCACTGCTCTATATAAAAAAATGTGACGCGTAATAAATAAAATAAATTAAATTAAAATATTACGTGCAATATCTGTAGATAAAATTAAACTTCTCTTTTAATTTCAGTTACACATATTTGACTTTATTAAATATAAAATTAAAAATTTTTTATCTAATATTTTTTGTAAATATCTTATGTAATATATTATATTTAAGCTTTCAAGATTATGCATCGTACCTTTAGCTTAACTTCGTTTCCATACCAGCAATAGATAAGAATCTGCGCCAACATGGAACATGTATATAATATCAATGGAAAAGATTGCGCGCTAAATGTTATTTTTGCCAATTGATATAAGTTGGAGCAAACCACTAGCGTGCTCACTATAAATTGAATGCCAATAATAATCTTGAATTTTTCGTTTATCATAAACGCGAATCTATAACAGAAAAATATCTTGAGGAAAACATTTAACTCTGAAAATATTTACCTAAGATTTTATTTTGGACATACAAAAATAATTAATGATACATTTAACACATTCGTATGCAGTACTTATTTATTTAAATGAATGTAAATCATATTCTTTACAATGTTTTTCTTCTTATTTTAATTCTTATTTTAATAATTTGTACGATTCTATTTAAGAAAACTAACTTAAATATATTGTCATGCTGATATACACATTCTCGCAGATTATTTCGATCGAGTGAGATCTTTTTCAGCCGGCACTCGAGTATCTCGATTTGACAACACACGTGCAACAATAGACCGCAGATCAAAGTGTCGCAAGCTACGTTCACTATAGATCCAAACATCGAGCTTATTAATTGACGAGCGTATATGACGTAGAATACCACTTCGGAATAGTTATACGGAGTCCATTCCCTATATGTTAGATTGCCTTTTCGAAAATCCGTGAATAATGATGTCAGCGCAATGCACGCACACGTTGTCTCGACCAGGATTGTGTACCACAAAGTGTTGGTTCTATAAAATGATTAAGCGTTTTATTACAAATATTTTTTTACGCTATCGTGTTATTCGATTTGTAATTTAATTATTGTTAAGAATTTATTTGACATTTCATGTATATTTGCAAAAATGATTTTTTAGTACTTACTGTATCGCTTTTTCGAATTTGTGTCGAATTTCTATTTCATCGGCTTCCAGTGGGATAAATGGTTTCTGTCTAAGAATATTAGTTAATGTCCCAATATTTTGGCGATTTATCAAAAGACCGGTCATTTTAGAAAGAGAAATAATCATGGCAAGCATGACATAAAAAGTATCCGTAAAATCGTCGGTATTATCAACGTTTAAGATAATATCCATAAGTTGAGATAACATAAAAGTAAATAACAAGAATGTTATAAAAACTGTATATGCATTATACACAATGCGTTTGCACAATGATGTCCAAGAATTTGGTGGCCAGCATCCCACAACCATAAGAATTTTTAGTGTAAATTCAAGAACCTGCATCTTATAAGTTTTTAATTACATTCTCGATTATAAAACGTTGATTTACATTGAGGAAATTGTTTACTTAATATAATTAAATAAAAATAATTATATATACTTTTATATTAATCTAAATATATGTTTTTAATATAGTAATATTATGAAAAAAGACTAGCAAAAATTAGCAATTTAAATTACCGTTGCAGAATATTATAATATATTTTTATAATTAATGCAGTATATAATTAATTTCAAATCCTTAATATGATTTTTAATGTACAGATTAATATACAAAATATAGTAATCTAAAATAGAATTAAATAAATAAGAGATTCCACGTGCTATAAGTAATATTGAGTCATAATTATAATGCCGTAAATACCATTAAGAAACTCTATATTTTGTGAGGTATATAGATCATTTTGTCCCCTTTCAATAAATGTCGCTCTCCTATCAATAATACTGTAAACCGATTTCACAAAACTCCGATCAACCTTAGAATGTCTATAGCCATATGTCATGACTTTCTAATGACTATTGTTCGTCTAGTTTTCCCTCTACACTCGTCAGTTATATAATTATCATGATATCAAGCTCGCAATATCGTTTCTCCATTTTTTCATACTACAACATATTATATTCATATGCAAATTTTATGCGACAGCCATTTACTATTACGATGTAGTTAAATATTATAGCAGATAAAATGCAGAAAACTAATATCGTACTGGAACTATAAATTGTGTTTTATTTCCATAAAAAATTGTAAAACATATTCATGCAAATAATCCATCAATTTATTTGCTTAGTAAATATTTAGCATTGCTCTAATTTTTATCTAGCTACAACTTTGTCGTTTGTCTTTATATGCTAGTCAATTGAGTTTCTGATATTAATTTGAATATATGGTTATATGTAGTAATTTTTGATAAAGTGTATCAAATACAATAAAATCTCATTACATGTATCTCATTATATGTATAATGTAGACAGTATAGACAGTGCATTGTATTTTACACATCATTGTAATATATGCTTCTTTTTACATTTTTAAAAAAAATCAGTGTCAGAATTTGTTTAATTTTATTTTAAACATACATATTTTACAATGCATAATATGAATCAAAAAATTAAAAATTTTGAAGCAGAAATATTTTATATAATCGATGTTCTTATTTGACAATAATTTAAAAGTGTTTAGTTAAAATGAGATTTTTACCAAAATGATTTCGTTGAGTTTCTTATCTAATAAAAGTTTTTTAATGCCTATTAATCAGTTTTTAATTCATTTTAAATTAAATATGAAATTATATATATATATATATATATATATATATATATATAACGAAAAAAAAATATAATTATCGTTTTATCTACAGATATTGAGTGTAATATGCACGCTTTCACAAATATCAATCATTATTATCATATATATCATATTATCATTATTATCATATATATAGTAATTAGTAAAAAATGCAATGGGAAACATTGTAATAACTCATCTCTATTTATTTATCTTTTGCTAATAATTTTTACACTTGTTTTAATAAATTATAAACTGAATATGACGTCTTAAGTAACTGCAACAGAAATATATACATGCGTTATATTCTATAATCTTGTACATGCAGATACATGTATGCAGCCTTATATTAAATAAGATATATTATATTTTATAAAGTATATTATATTTTAATTCGAAAAGAAAATAAAAGTGTATTTTTATAGCATATTAAGAATAAATTAAAAAATTACGTATGTTAATATTTTTACTAACCCCAACAAAACAATCAAGATTCATAGAAAGAACATAAACGCTGGTAAACTCTATTGGTACTAATGCACGATTCATAACTATTAATAGACTTTCTTTAAGATTCTTGTCCAGTGTTAGCCAATTCATTTCAAAAATATTGTCCATTACTTGAATGCTCTATCGTTAAAATAATAAAAAGTTTTATTAAAATTACTTAATTTTTTCAATCTAATTATTTATAAAAATATTTATTATTTTAATTTGTATAAATATTAATCTGCGATTTTGAACCAAATAAAATAATGCATTTAATTACGCACCTTTAACTTTACTTCGTTTCCATACCAACAGTAAATAAAAATTTGTGTCAACATGCAAGACATGTACAGCAATAAAGGAAGATAACTCGCATCTACAGTTGACGATTTAGTCATTTGATATAAATTGGAGCATATCACCATCATACTTACGATGAATTGCATAGCGATAGTCATTCTGAATTTTTTGTTCAATCTGAGTGCATATCTGCAATAAAACAAACGGTAGATTGCAATCGTTACTAATTATTTTTTTAATAAAAATGTTCATATTTAAAAATATATAATGTAATATAGAAACAAATGCATTAAAATGTTTCGGATCACAATAAAATATGTACTTGTAAATCTATAAAATAAAGCAAGAATAGATTTTTTAAAGAATTGTAAAATATGTTTTTCAAAAAACAAAATAACTAACTTAAATATACTATCGTGATGAAATATACAGTCGTGAAGATTATTATGATCATTAGATATTTTGTTGAGACGGCATTCTAAAATCTCGATTTGACAGCAAATATGCACCAACAATCCGCAAATGAGACTGTCGCAAGCCACAGTGATAAATGATCCGGCTGTTAAACTAATAACTTGGTGAGCATATGTGAGACAAAACACGATAGTAGACGAATTGTAATCGTATGGTAGCCATGCTCTATACGTCAAGTTTCTTTTTCTAAATTCTGTGAGTAAAGATGTCAAGGTGAAGCATATACTAGTTGTTACTATCAGAATCGTATAACACAGTGTGTTGATACTGTAAAATAATGCTGTGGAGATATTTCACGCTTACTTAATTAAGTTCTTAATATTTATATATTATCAAAAAAAAGTTTGTTTATAATATAAAATCTTTTATATTAATATTCTAAAAAAATTTGTTTTGTTATTTAATGTTGTTATTTAATGTATGTATTTGTTTCTTTCAATATTAAAGATTTTATTTTAATTTATAATAATAGAAACTTTCTTTACATTATAAAGTAATTAACTTTTATAAAATTCATCTAGATTCTTATAAAATAACACATACTATACCAGTTTGTCGAATTTATTCCAAATTATCATTTCGTCGATGTCCAATGGTCTATATGGTTTTTCGACAAGTATATTAGTTAACGTATCGATGTTATTTCGATTTAGCAACAAACTAAGCATTTTAGAGCACGAAACAAACGTCGCCAATGTAGCGTAGAAATTTTCAGTAAAATCTTCGGCATTATCAACATTCCAAATAATATCCAAAAATTGCGTTATCAAAAATGTATGCAATAGTATAACTATGAAAACTGTGTACACATCATAAACTGTGCGCATACACGATGACCATGATTCCGGTTGCCAACATCCAATAATTGTCAAAATTTTAAAAGTAAATTGTAGCACACGCATCTTTTCGCTATGCTAAATAACATTTAAAAACGGAAAATGTAGGTTTATATGCCAAAAAAGAGAAATATAGAATTACGCTTATCTAGAATTAGTATATAACTATATAAAAAATTAATGTAATGTATTTTACTTTTAATAAAAAAATAGTACATTTATGTATGTAGTTAACATTCCATTAAAGATACTGAGCTAATTTCCTAAAATTGATTATATTATAATTCTCTATTATATTATAATTATATTATAGTTCTCTTTATCATTATATATAATATAAAATTAAATTCCTTATTATAACTTCAAATTTTATGTTCACATTCAAATTCTATACCAAATTTTTTATACTTACAATTTTTTTACTTACAATTATCTTTATTTATAAATCACCAGAAGAGAATTTTCTGAAAGTATTCATACTGCAATGTATCTACAAATATGAAACACGACTTTTAAAATAAACTAAGAGATGATAATAGGATAACTTGTAGAAATGATTGACAATCTTAGAATGTTTGTAGTACTTTACATATATCTTCGTTTTTTTCTAATATTCTTCCTGTATTCTTTCTTCTATATTATTAAGTAATTGTCGTAATATCGGACTTGCATTATTGATCTAGTAAAAATACTTGTGTCATACTATTGTCATTGTAAGTCTTTGAAAATTAAACTTTTATTTCTATAATAATACCGTTTTCAGATACGAATACGATAGGAATTAAAAGAAGATGAATATCATCGGTTACTTTATCTTCATAAAATCTTAAATAGAAACAATTCGCTATTATTATTTCCCTAAAAATATTTTATTTATTTTGTTATTTTGCGTTATTGAATTGCCGCTGCATAGTCCTTTTTTTTTTCTTATGGACTTCAGACACACAACAGATACTTATAATAAAAGTGCGAAGTGTCATAAAAAATAGAATATGTAAAAACTTACACAACGTAAGTTCTTTTAATGACGTAATAAAATAAATATTAATAAGTATAATACAATAAATAAAGCATAGATATATAATAATATATATAATAAAATATAATATTAAAATATAAAATATAATAACATACATAATAAAGATATATAACGCATATAATAAAATAAATAACACGCATATATCGTATTTATAGATTATCTTCTATTCCTTCTTTAATAATGCTACGTAAGATTTATTAATATCAATCGTACTAAATATTTCTTGACGATTTTGTCTTCTTTTTGCGCATCTTTTCTGATTTATTTGAATTTGATATAGAGCATTGATTTTGTCTTTTACGCTGTCACTTCTGCATTTGTTGAAGTAAATTATAAGTAGAGTACGATATATAATTAGAATTAACAATAAGTATTCATATATTGTGTATATATAAATACATATATATGTGTGTATGTGTGTATGTGTATCTGGTGCATGTGCGTGCTCTCTCTCTCTCTCTTTTTCTCTCTTTCTTTTTCTTTCTATATATATGTATATAAAATTGTTATAAATATAATGTATCAAATTATAGCATATTTATTAGCCATAGATTTATAATGAAATTAGAATTATAACATATTTAAATTCAGCTTATAGCTTTGTTATTATTTGATACATTATATCTATAACAATGGCTTTCCTCTAGAGCATGAAACATGAGACAAAATCATCATATTGAATAAATAGCAATATTCTATCTTTATTAGTTTTATAATTATAAAATATTAATATAGAAAAATAATATTTCTATAATATTTTTTATTTTTATATTATTCTCTGCATAATACGGCGTTGTTAGTTTCCTCTTTAGAGTATTCCTTTTAGAATCATTCATGGCCGTCCCGTCAACATGAAGACATTCATTTTATAAACAGACACATGTAGTAATATTCACAAATACATATTCACAATACTATTAATTATTATAGTAAATCTAATAATTAGTAAAAAAACATAGAATAGAAAGCATTGTAATAATTCGCTTCTATTTTATTTATTTTTTGCACATAATTTCTACACTTGTTTTAATAAATTATAAACCGAATATGACGTTTTAAGTAACTGCAACAAAAATATACATGCATTAACTCATCTCATAATATTAATAATCTCATAATATATTTTAACTCGAAAAGAATATAAAAATGTATTTTCATAGTATATTAAGAGTAAATTAAAGAATGATATATTAATTTTTTTTACTAACCCCGACGAAAGAATCAAGATTCATAGAAAGAATATAAGCGCTGGTAAACTCTATTGGTATTGATGCGCGATTTATAATTATTAATAGACTTTGTTTAAAATTTTTATCTAATGTTAACCAATTTATTCCAAAAATATTGTCCACTACTTGAATGCTCTATTGTTAAAATAATAACAAGTTTTATTAAAATTATTTAATTTTTTTAATTTAATTTTTTATGAAAATGTTTATTATTTTAATCCCTTCATTAATCTATAATTTGAAACAAATAAAATGGTGTACTTCATTCCACGCACCTTTAATTTTACTTCGTTTCCATACCAACAGTAAATAAAAATTTGTGTCAACATGCAAGACATATACAGCAGTAAAGGAAGATAACTCGCATCTACAGTTGACGATTTAGTCATCTGATATAAATTAGAGCATACTACCATTGTACTTACGATGAATTGCATGGCGATAGTCATTTTGAACTTTTTGTTCAATCTGAGTGCATATCTGCAATAAAATAAACGATAAATTTAAGAATAAAATATGTATGCGTATAAATATATAAAAAATAAAGAAAGAATTAATTTGTTAGTGAATTGCAAGGTATGTTTTCCAAATAATAAAATAACTAACTTAAATATACCAACATGGTGACATATACAATTGCGAAGATTATTATAACCATTAGATATTTTACTGAGTCGATATTCTAAAATTTCTATTTGACAGCAAATATGCACTAATAATCCGCAAATGAGACTATCGCAGGCCACATTGACGAGCGATCCGGCTATTAAACTGATAAGTTGGTGAGCATATGTGAGGCAAAATACTATAGTAGACGAATTGTAATTGTATGGTAGCCATGCTCTATATGTCAAGTTTCTTTTTCTAAATTCTGTGAGTAAAGATGTCATGGTGAAGCATATACCGGTTATGACTATCAGAATCGTATAACACAGTGTGTTGATACTGTAAAATAATGCTGTGGAGATGTTTAACGCTTACTTAATTGAGTTCTTAATATTAATATATTATCAAAGAAAAGTTTGTTTATAACATAAAATCTTTTATATTAATATTCTAAAAAAATTTGTTTTGTTATTTAATATATATGTATTTGTTTCTTTTAATATTAAAGATTTCATTTTAATTTAAAAAAATACAAACATTTTTTTTACATTATAAAGTAATTAACTTTTTTAAAAATTAATTTAGATTCTTATGCAATAACACTTACTATACGAGTCTGTCGAATTTATGCCAAATTATCATTTCCTCGATATCCAATGGTCTATACGGTTTTTCGACAAGTATATTAGTTAACGTATCGATGTTATTTCGATTCATCAGCAGACTAAACATTTTAGAGCACGAAACAAACGTCGCCAATGTAGCGTAGAAATTTTCAGTAAAATCTTCGGCATCATCGACATTCCAAATAATATCCAACAATTGCGTTATCAAAAATGTATGCATTAGTATAACTATAGAAACTGTGTACACATCATAAACTGTGCGCATATACGATGACCATGATTCCGGTTGCCAACATCCAATAATTGTCAAAATTTTGAAAGTAAATTGTAGCACACGCATCTTTCTGCTATGCTAAATGCATTTAAAGAAAATTTATGAAAAGTGCAAGTTTATTATATACGAAAAAAAGAAATATAAAATTATGCTTATCTAGAATTAGTATATAACTATATATAACAATTAATGTAATATATTTCACTTTTAACAAAAAATAGTACATTTATAGTTAACATTCCTTTAAAGATACTGAGCTAATTTCCTAAAATTAATTATATTATAATTCTCTATTATATTATAGTTCTCTTTATCATTATATATAATATAAAATTAAATTCCTTATTATAACTTTAAATGTATGTTATGTTCATATTCAAATTCTATACCGAATTTTTTATACTTACAATTTTACTTACAATTATCTTTATTTATAAATCACCAGAAGAGAATTTTCTGAAAGTATTCATATTGCAATGTATCTACAAATATGAAACACGACTTTTAAAATAAACTAAGAGATGATAATAGGATAACTTGTAAAAATCATTGACAATCTTAGAATGTTTGTAGTACTTTACACATATCTTCGTTTTTTCCTAATATTCTTCCTGTATTCTTTCTTCTATATTATTAAGTAATTATCGTAATATCGGACTTGCATTATTGATCTAGTAAAAATACTTGTGTCATACTATTGTCATTGTAAGTCTCTGAAAATTAAACTTTTATTTCTATAATAATACCGTTTTCAGATACGAATACGATAGGAATTTAAAAAAGATAAATATCATCGGTTACTTTATCTTTATAAAATCTTAAATAGAGACAATTCGCTATTATTATTTCTCTTAAAAATGTTTTATTTATTGTGCTATTTTGCGTTATTGAGTTGCCTTTTTTCTTCTTATCGACTTCAGATATTGTGCCTTCTGACGCACAAAAGATACTTATAATAAAAGTGCAAAGTATCATAAAAAACAGAATATGTAAAAACTTACACAACAAAGTTCTTTTAATGAAATAAATCTTAATAAATATAACATAATAAATTAAGCAAAAATATATAATAAGATATATAATAAAATATAATAAATATAAAATATAAAATTAAAATATAAAATATAATAAGATATGTAATAAAAGATATATAACATATATAATAAAATAAATAACACGCATGTATCGTATTTATGAATAATCTCTCATTCTTTCTTTAATAATGCTACGTGAGATGAAATGATATTTAACATCAATTGCATCAAATTTCTTGATAACTTTGTCTCGTTTTTGCGCATCTTTTTTAATTTATTTGAATTTGATATAGATAGAGCAGTGATTTTGTCTTTTACGCTGTCACTTCTGCATTTATTGAAGTAAATTATAAGTGAAGTACGACATGTAATTAGAATTAGTAATAAGTATTCATATATTGTGTATATATAAATACATATATATGTGTTTGGTGCATGTGCGCGCTCTCTCTCTCTCTCTCTCTCTCTCTCTCTCTCTCTCTCTCCCCCTCCCTCCCTCTCTCTCTCTTTATATATATATATATATATATATATATATATATATAAAATTGTTATTAATATAATGTATCAAATTATAGCAAAGTTAGTTATAGATTCATAATAAAATTAAAATTATAACATATTTAAATTCAGCTTATATAGCTAACTTTGCTATTATTTGATACATTATATCTATAACAATGGCTTTTCTCTAGAGCAGATGAAACATAAGACAAAATCATCATATTGAATAAATGGCAATATTCTGTCTTCATATTTTTTATCATTAGTTTTATAATTATAAAACATTAATATAGAAAAATTATATTTCTATAATATTTTTTATTCTCATATTATTCTCTGCATAACACAGCGTTGTTAGTTTCCTCTTTTAGAGTAATTTTTTTTAGAGTATTCATTTTAAAACCTTTCATGGCCATCCCATGACGTCATATGACATTCATTTTATAAACAGACATATGTAGAAATATTCACAAATAGTATTAGTTATTATAGTAAATCTAATAATTAGTAAAAAACATAAAATAGCAAACATTGTAATAACTCGTTTCTATTTTATTTATTTTTTGCTCATAATTTCTACACTTGTTTTAATAAATTATAAACCGAATATGACGTTTTAAGTAACTGCAATAAAAATATACATGCATTATATCTCATCTCATAATATTAAAAATTGTATACGCACATATATACATATACAGTCTTATTATTTAATGTAAAATAAGATTTATTATATTTTAATTTCGAAAAGAATATAAAAATGTATTTTCATAGTATATTAAGAATAAATTCAAGAATTATGTATTAATTGGTTTTACTAACCCCGACGAAAGAATCTAGATTCATAGAAAGAATATAAGCGCTGGTAAACTCTATTGGTATTGATGCGCGATTCATAATTATTAATAGACTCTGTTTAAAATTTTTATCTAATGTTAGCCAATTCATTCCAAAAATATTTTCCACTACTTGAATGCTCTATTATTAAAATAATAACAAGTTTCATTAAAATTACTCAATCTTTTTAATTTAATTTTTTATGAAAATGTTTATTATTTTAATCTCTTTATTAATGTATAATTTTGAAGCAAATAAAATAATGCACTTGATTTCACGCACCTTTAACTTTACTTCGTTTCCATACCAACAGTAAATAAAAATTTGTGTCAACATGCAAGACATATACAGCAGTAAAGAAAGATAACTCGCATCTACAGTTGACGATTTAGTCATCTGATATAAATTAGAGCATACTACCATTGTACTTACGATGAATTGCATGGCAATAGTCATTCTGAACTTTTTGTTTAATTTGAGTGCGTAACTGCAATAAAATAAACAATAAATTTTAATAATATTCTTAATAATCATTTTTTTAATAAAAATGTTCATATTTAAAAATATATAATGGAAATACATATGTAATATAATATAATATAAAAACAAATGCTTTAAAATGTTTCAAAAAGAAACAAAATATGTATGCGTGTAAATATATAAAAAATAAAGAAAGAATAAATTTTTTAATAAATTGCAAGATATATTTTCTAAATAATAAAATAACTAACTTAAATATACCATCATGGTGACATATACAATCGTGAAGATTATTATAACCATTAGATATTTTGCTGAGTCGATATTCTAAAATTTCTATTTGACAGCAAATATGCACTAATAATCCGCAAATAAGACTGTCGCAGGCCACATTGACGAGCGATCCGGCTGTTAGACTAATAAGTTGGTGAGCATACGTAAGGCAAAACACTATAGTAGACGAATTGTAATTGTATGGCAGCCATGCTCTATACGTCAAGTTTCTTTTTCTAAATTCTGTGAGTAAAGATGTCATGGTGATACATGCACAGGTTGTTTCCACCAGAATAACATAGAAGAATGTGTTGGTACTGTAAAAGGATGCTGTGGAGATGTGTAATGCTGACTTGAATAAATAAAGTTCTTAATATTTAATGAAACGTTATCGAAAAAAAGTTGTAGTATAAAAATTTTTTAATTATAATTATGCTTATATTTTGAAGAAGTTTTGTTTTGTTACATAAAATATATGTACTGTTCCTTTAATAGTAGAGATTTTTTTAATTAAGAAAATGAAAATATTTTTTAAATTAAAGAAATTAATTTATTTTAAAATTAATTTCGATTCTTATGCAGTAACACTTACTATATAAGTCTGTCGAATTTATGCCGAATTTTCATTTCGTCAATATCCGATGGTCTATATGGTTTCTCGATCAATATGTTGGTTAATGTATTGATATTATTCCGATTTATCAACAGACTAAGCATTTTGGAGCACGAGACAACAGACGCCAATGTAGCGTAGAAATTTTCAGTAAAGTCCTCAGTATTGTGGACATTCCAAATAATGTCCAAAAATTGCGATATCAAAAATGTATACAATAATATAACCATAAAAACTGTGTACGTATCATAAACTATACGCATGCACAATGATGAACATGATTCTGGTCGCCAACATCCAACAATTGACAAAATTTTAAAAGTAAATTGTAGAACACGCATTTTAAGTATGCTGAATATATTTAAAAACGGAATGTATATATATATATATATATATATATATATATATATTATTATTATTATTAATTTGACAGATTATTATATCTTTATATTTCTGTATTTCGTGTATTATTATATATATACTCCTGGACAAAATTAACGCATAATTTTGTCTAGGAGTTATATATATATATATATATATATATATATATATATATATATATATATATAAATAACTCCTAGACAAAATTATGCGTTAATTTTGTCCAGGAGTATATATATAATAATACACGAAATACAGAAATATAAAGATATAATAATCTGTCAAATTAATAATAAAGAAACGCAATAAGAATTACTATATAAGAATATAAAAAACTAATTTATCTATTTTACTCTTGATAGAATAGTACATTTGTAGTTAACATTCCACTAAAGATAGAACTATATTGCCCAAGATAGATTATTATATTTATTTAATTCTATATATGATATAGAACTAATCAATATTACGGCCCCAAATTTTATATTCATGATTCTCATATATCTACGAGATATACTTAAATTTCTCTATTTTCAAATCACCAAAAAAAGACTTTCTACAAATATTCATTTGCTGCAATGTTTCTATAGAACACGATCTTTAAAATAAACTGATTGTGAAATAATATGATGACTTACGGATGATTGACAATCGCGTAAAATGTTCAAATCTTGTTCTTTATCTAATATTCTTCTTGTATTCTTTCTTCTATATTATTAAGTAATTATCGTAATATCGGAATTGCATTATTGATCTAGGAAAAATACTTGTGTCGTACTATTGTAAGTCTCTGAAAATTAAACTTTTATTTCTATAATAATATCGTTTCGAGATATGAATACGATAGGAATTCAAAGAAGATGAATATCATCGGTTACTTTATCTTCATATAATCTTAAATAAAAACAATTCGCTAGTATTTCTTTTAAAAATGTTTCATTTATCGTACTGTTTCGTTACTGAGTGGTCGCTGATCTTCTTTCTCCTTATTGATTTCAGACATTGTAACTTCTGATCCACAAGAAAATATTTTAGTATCAAACATCCTGTTTTTAGTAAAAAAACAGGATATGTAGAAATTTACACAATATAAGTCTTTCAACGTGTTAATGTTAATAAAATAAATGTTAATAATTATAATATAATAAATAAAGCAAAAATATGTAATAAAATAAATAATACGCATGTATCATTTTTACAGATAATCTTTCTTTATTTTTTTAATAACGCTACGTGAGATATAATAAGCAATAATCGATATTAATTGCATCAAACATTTCTTGATACTTTCCTTTCCTTTTTACGAATCTTTTCTGATTTATTTGATTTTGATGTAAATTGAACATTAATTTTGTCTTTTACGCTGTCACTTCCGCATTTGTTGAAATAAATTATAAGTAGAGTATGACATCTTAAGTAACTAGAATTTATATATATAAGCTGAATTTAAATGGTTATGAATTTAATTATAAATCTATGGCTAACTTTGTTACTATTTTATACGTAACATTAAATATATATATGAGTGGTTCAGATTTGAAGTGATATCCCAAATCCACCCAAACTCGATTTCGAGTTATTGATATATTTATGAGATGTAAGCAATGCGATCTATCATCAATCATTATACAATACATATAGAAATCTCTTTTCAAAATCAATCAACTCTGCATAGCGTATAAATTATATTATTTATATGTGTACTTATGATAAAAATAAACAAAAGTCTTTGTTTCTCAAACTTTTATTTGTCGGATTTGTATCACATCCGAATCATTCATATAATTGTAATATTTTGATTCAAGCAGCACATAATACTTAATAAAATTTTATTAGATTTGAAGAAATATTGCTATTAATATATTATAAATTCTCGCTAAAATGCAAAATTAATTAAAACGCATACTGTAAGTGGCAAAATTAGCTTAGCACAATATTAACATTAATAATATATCGAATTTTCTATACTAACACCCATGAAAGAATCAAGATTCATAGGAATAATGTAAGCAGTAGTAATCTGAATAGGTAAAACTGCTCGCTTCATTATTATTATTAGAGACTTTGTTATATTTTTGTCCAATGTCAACCATTCTATATCGAAAATATCATCGATCATTTGATGGCTCTACTAAAATGTACAAAATATATTTATCGTTGTTTGTACAAGAAAAAGAGATATGTTTATTTATTAACATATCTTTGTTGTTAATATAATTAAAATAACAATAGCAAATAACAAATAATAAGTTGTTAATATAATTAAAATAACAATAAATATTTTATAAGAATTTTACAACTGTGAAAATAAATTCGAGATATAATTTGAAAACGTAAATATTTATAATACTTATAATTATATATTGGATATGACCAAAACATATATTACACATACACACACACACACACACACACACACACACACACACACACACACACACACACACACACACACACATATATATATTTAAATATTTATATTTCGTATCATATTTATATAATAAATATTATATATAGAATTATATTTGAAAAATATTTAAATATAAAGTATATTTCATCTTATCAAAATGATTTAACTGTACCTTTAATTTTACTTCGTTTCCATACCAGCAGTAGAAGAAGATTTGTGTTAACATGCAAATCATATATAATACCATTTCAATGTATTTGGCTTTTGCTGTTCTGTTACTTAATTGATAAAGACTAAAGCATATCACCAACATACTTATTATAAATTGAATGGTAAGAGTTAGTCTAAATTTCACATTTATAACAAAAGCAAGTCTAAAATTTAACAATCTTGTTTTTATAAAAATTTATTTTGATTAAATGATACATGAATATTGCTAAATTAAAATAATTATCGCTTTCCTTTCTATAGCAATATATGTTAATTATTTTAAGTTAAATAAAACACTAAAAAATTTGTGAAATTATTGAAACTAACCTGAAGATATAATAATGTTGACGTATGCAATCGCGAAGAATATCAGAATAAAACATGATTTTTTTCAAACGATAAGTCAAAATCTCAATTTGACAACAAATATGAACTAATAATCCACAGATGAGAGTATCGCAAGCAACATTTAAGTAACCTGAGACTATTAAACATATTAGCTGATGAATGTATATCAGAAAAAATGATGTCATCGATGAGTAATTAAACGGTAACCATGCCCTGTACGTTAATTGTCTTTTTTTAAAATTTGCAGATAAAGATGTCAATACTATAAATATGCTTGTTATTGTTACGAGATACGTATAACGCCGAGTATTAGATCTATAAAATAATTACATATAGATGATAAAATCTAATAATGTTTTAATAATTCCAAAATAATCTTGAAATAAATTTTGAAATTTTATATAAATTTTTAAATTTAATTATTATTTTAACTCAACAAGATATTTTTGATAAATATTAAAAATATTTATTATGTTAATTATAGTAAATGTTTAAGACTTAATGTTTAACAAATAATTGAGAAACATTTTATAATATTTAATATTTATTATTCTAATATTATATATGATTTATAATTAATGAATCACGATAACTATATTTTGTTAATACTTACTGTATGCTTTTATCAAATTTAGAAAGAATCTTCATTTCATTTGATGTCAACGGTCTGCATGGCTTTTCTATCAATATATTAATCAGCATAATAATGTTTTTGCGATTTAATAGTAAAATGAACAATTTACAACAAGTAGTGACGATAGGGGCAAATAAAAACAAATTATCAGACAAATTATCGGTATTATCCACTATCAGAATTATATCCATTAATTGCGATAGCATAAAAGTATTTAGCAATAAAATTATTATGCTTGAATATACATAATACACTATACGTTTATATATCGATGTCCAAGAATTTGGTCGCCAGCACCCAAATATCATTAACAGTTTAAAAGTAAATTCAAGAATACGCATTTTAAGATTATTTTTCTCGATATCGTTTTGTGAAGTAAAATGTATCACCAAATATTTAAAATTTTTTGTAATTAAGTTGCAATAGTATCAAGTATAAGTATAATATTTCAGAAAAATAATTTGCTGTTTCGTTATTTGTAAAAATTATTTCTATTTTTATATATTTATATGTATATAAATATTACTTAAATTTCATATTAGGAATAAAAAACTTTTAATTTATTATAGTGTACATTTTATAAATCAAATAATAACCAAGAAATTATGAGATAATAATCGATAAGCATAATACGTAACAAAATCTTTAGAGAGACTGATGATAAGTCTCCAGCTGATGAATCTGCAGTTTATAACTTTGTAACTCGAATTTACTAGATATGAATATTCTTTCTTTATAATTTTATCGATTATACATAATTGGTAATTTTATTATTCATTTTGCAATCTATTCTTCGCGATATAGCCCTCTAGAAATAATTTTTTCATGAATCGAATATGCAGCACAATAAGAAGATGCACATAAGGCATTGTTATAATTATATTTGTAACAATGGCTTTTCTCTGGAGAAGAGGAAATATAAGATAAAATCATCAAATATTAAATAAACAGCTATAATCTATCTTTAAGAAATATTGATGCAGACAAATTATACTTCTATAATACATAATTTCTACACAATGTGCTATTATTTTACATTATTCATTCATTTGTTGAAGTAAGTTATAAGCTGAATATGATGTCTTAAGTACCTACAATAAATTAAGAAAATTAATCTTAGTTTAAACCTGTGTATTGATTTAATATCTATCGCTCATAATGATATGCAGAAACATATTTGCAATATTTTAATTTTTATTGTAACAGTGTAAATATACTTAAATAAGATCTAATTACATTTGATAATAATTCCAATTATATTAAATGGTTATATAACTGGAGTTATATTCCAGTTATAATAATTATATTTGATAATAATTCCATTATATATTAATCAATGTTACATCTGTCTTCAATTAATTTCATATATATATATATATATATATATATATATATATATTTATTTATTTATTTATTTATTAAAATATAAAATCAGTCCTATGTCTATCTACGTTAATAAAAAAATTTAGAATTTAAAAATTTAGAATTACGTTTTCAAAATCTGTATCGCACATTCAATGTTTTATACTTACACCTACAAAAGAATCAAGATCCATAGAGATAGTATAAGCACTGGTGATTTCAATAGGTATTATTGTACGTGCCATCATTATTATTAAAGACCTTTTTAACTTATTATCCAAAGTCAACCATTCCATCTCAAAAATTTTATCGACAAATTGAAGACACTGCTCGAAAAAACAAAACATATTCCTTATAAACATTTCTGCTTATACTTTTATAAAAAAGATGTATACATCTGAATTGTTTACACATACGTTAATAAATCTTATAAACAGAAAAATTAATTTTAAAAACAGATTGAAATTAATGAAGCTAAAATTATTTCCTAATAAATGTTAATTTTTTTGTATTTTATTCTAATGTGACATGAAACGCGCTCAGAAATTTATTGCCTATATTATTGTTTAATATACATATTAAAATAAGTACAAATGTACATATAAAGATATAAGTAAAATGAGTTTATGAAAAGAAAGTTTCAGTGTTCAAAATATTGTGCTAAAAGTGATAAAAATTAAACTTTTACCTTTAATTTTATTTCATTGCCATACCAACAGTAAACGAAAACTTCTACTAACATGCAACTCATGAATAATGCTAGTCGAATGCATCGTGCATCTAACTTTGATAGAGTTATTTGATAGAGATTGAAACATATTTCAAACATACTCATCAAAAATTGAATAGTAATTATTATTCTAAACTTTGCATTTACAAGAAAAGCAAATCTGAAAAAATTAATAATGATTTCTTTATAATTAATCATGTAAAAGTAAAAAAATTTATTTTATTTTTAAAAAATGATTAAAATGATTAAATTATAAAAGTAAATTATTAAATTATAATATAGTAAATTATTAAATTATAAATTATAAATTATTAAATTATAACAAATTATTAATTTCTTCAATAAATAGATCAATCATAACCTGATGTAATCCCACAAAAAAAAGACAACCATTGAAAGAAAAGATACTAATAAAGATATTGGTGTAAGGGAGCAGAACTGAATTTTCTTGCAATCTCTGCTTATATGAGACACCATACAAATATAATTTCAATAGACATAATGCATATCAAAGAAACACCAAGAAAATAAGGATCGAAATAACATTTTTCAGCTCAACAAATAGTTGCTAGAAAAATATATTCGCGGACTAGAAAAATATGTGAAGCGGCTGAATCGGGAATCAAATCTTTCGCTTTTCAAGCAACTGCTCTAAACCACTGAGCTAACCAGACCTCACACCTAATGCTACTTTTTAATACACTGATATGCAATTCCAGAGCGATGTTGATATCTCGCTCGATGGATGCAATGCCGATTTCCATGGAAGATCCTTGAAAAGGTCGCTCGCTGATCAAATAAGTCAGACTGTACTTATTTAATAATTAATAATTAGAAAGAAAAAGAAAAATTAAATAATTGTTTTAATAAGAAAATACGGCTTCACATTTATTCAAATTTTATTATACCAAAATTCTTAATATAAAAAAATATAGATATGCTTTATAAATAAAACACATAAAATAAAACAAAGAGAATTAACCTTAAAATACTACAATGTTGTTGCACACAATTACGAAGGCCATCTGAATAAAGCATGATTCTGCTCAAACGATATGTTAAGATTTCAAACTGACAGCAAATGTGCACCATCATTCCACAGATGAGACCGTCACAAGCAGCATTCAGTAGAGCGCCCACAATTAAACCTATCAGTTGATGAATGTATAACAGACAAAATAACATCATAGTTGAATATTCAAACGGCACCCATGCTCTGAACGTTAACTTTCTTTCGCCAAAATTTGTCATCAAGGATGTAAATGTAATACTGACCCATGTTATCAAGCACATAGCTGTATAGTGAAAAGTGTTAAGCCTGTAATATAACTTTAAACATATTTTTTTTCTTTTCCAAATATTTTTTCTTTAGAGATTAAAAAACCTTATAATTATTCGCTTAAAAATATGAATAAATCTAATTAAGAAAAATTTATTTAAAACAATGTAAAGTCAAGAATAAATTGATGTCGAATAAATTTAAAGGATTTATAACAAGAAAAATTTTATTTAAAATAATTAAAAAATTAAATTAAATATAAATTGATGTCAAACAAATTTAGAAAACTTACAGAAAATGTAATAAAGCCATACGTTAACGTACTTTAAAATAATTTTGTAATGATATCATGTTAATTATTGTTTGCTAAATACTTACTGTATGCTATTATCAAATTTGTAATAAATCTCTATTTCATTCAGTTTCAATGGTTTGCAAGGTTCTTTCGTCAGAATATCAATCAATTTAATAATATTTTTGCGATTTGCCAATAAACTGAATAATTTAAAGCAAGTTATAATCATAGGAAGTAATATGCAAAAGTTGTCACAGAAATCGTCCGTATTATCCACAATGAGAATTATATCCATGAATTGCGATAATGTAAAACTATTTACTATCAAAATTATTAGAATTGTGTACATTCGATACATTATACGTTTATATATCGATGTCCATGATTGTGGCTGCCAACAACCACATATTGTTAGCACTTTAAAAGGAAATTCCAACACATTCATTTTTAATTTTTTCTGTTCACCAATATCCATTACATGATAGTAAAAATTGACAATAATCGAATATTGTAAATCTGTTTTCACTTTTTTTTGGAATTATTGTTTATATTTTATCTAATTTATTTTTCTCAAGTATTGCATTAAATTTATCAATATCTTGCTTTTTCAATGATCAGATATACAATACATAACAAAGCTCACTTTATTATAAATTATTTGTGCTGCGGATGCAGCTTTAGACAAAGCTTTAACATTTGAGATAACTAAAATAAAAAATTGTATAATATAAAAAATTTTTTATACACGAATCTAAAAGAAAGACATGAAGTACAATTCGTAGAACAACTGCCAAAGGTCTATAATTTCCAATCTTCTATGAAATAGTGGCTTTCTTTCGTAATCGATGATCTATTTATTTCTACAACAACTGTCCCTTATAATATAGTATTCCCATGAATCGATAATGAAGCAGAGTTTGCATGGCAATCTTTGCATGTCCGCTAAAGACAGATTGAATTAAAAAGAAGAATATTTAAATATTAAAACGTCGCTTATAATACAGTTTGGCATAAATTATTTATATAGACAAATTATACTTTTGCAAGAAAACATTTAATTTAACGTTGTACGCCGTAATATCACATTACATTATATTTTCCTTTTATATATTGATGCAGTCGTTAAAATTTCTAATGGAGGAGTTCAAAACGCATGAGTATCTATATCAATAATATGGAAATAAGTGAAACATACAATATAATATAATAAAAAATATTGCAGAATATAAACTGTCATATTATTTGATTACTAATGTCATAAAAAAATATAAAAATAAACTATATTAAAGTACATAATATAATATACAAAATATAGTAAAACGTACAAAATTAAAATGCGAACTGTTTGTTTATTCATATGTACTCTTTAAAAAATTATAAAATTTTCTACCAATTTATTATTGATTTAGCTCAAATTTCACAATTGTCAGGAATCATTTTGCTTTTATACTTATCTTCCTTTTTAGGATTTTTTTCCTTTTAGATTTTTTTAGATACTGAGAACTTTCACCAACGTTAAAGTGTTTTTCCATGTTGGAAGAGTTATATATTATATAATTTTTTTTGTAATATGTAATTATATAATATTTCATTAATTTTTTTTATAATTAAAACATTAATCTTATATTATTTCAACATAAGCAAATAAATACATATAAGCCAAAATAAAAAATAAATATTAGTGTATTACATTATACAAAACTATAATTAGATTTACTGATATCCTACGATAAATTTTGATTGAATAAATCTTGATAAGCAATATAAGTCGTGATGAACTAGAAAATTTAGAAAATTTAAGTGTAAAGTAAATTAATTCATTGACGTAGCAATATATTACGACGCAATACGATTAAATTTGATTGAAAAATTCTGTTTTTTGGGAATTTCAAATTAATTATTAATTAAATAACGAATAATTAGTTATCGCGCGCCTCGGATTATTTAATATTCTGTAATACACACATTTAGGCTAAATATTTTGCATTCTGCCGCATTTTAAATCAAGATGATAATCAATTCATGTAGTCATTATTGCATATAAAATCTAATATTTATGTAAAAAATAATTTACGTTAATTTGATCAGAATAACTATTTATATTTAAATTAAATTAATATTATTATTTTACGCGAAATTTTCGAGAAAAAAATTTCTTTTCTTAAATTTGAAAATTTTTGATTGTAGTTTATTAAGTAATATATAGTTTAAGGAAACAAATGTGCATATAGCGCGTGCTTTGTAATATTCTAATAAGCTAACAATATAAATATTGTAATATGAATATATAAATATAATCTAACTCTTTTACTCAAATTAGTTGTACTGCTATTCCTTCATTTGTTGAAGCAAATTGTAAATCGAATATGATGTCTTAAGAACCTACAAATAAATATATGTATATGTATATATATATATATATATATATATATATATATATATAATAAAACTCTTACATTTATGTACTGGTATATTAGATAATTTTGTCAATAATGAAATATAACAAAAAAACATTTAAAATACAACACCTAAAAAATGTTTTAATCTTTATAATCTTTAGCTCTGTCCTTTAATGTAATTAAGTAAAATTGTACTGAACTGAAGCTTTGTTAAATTTGATATTATTAATGCAACTATTTTAAATGTAATGAATATAATATTGCATTTTTTAAAATTGATTAACACATCCATTAAAACATAAAGCCATTGCTTATGTAAACTAAAAACTTGAAATTTCGCTCCAAAATCAACTTCAGTCACACATTTGATATTTTTATACTTACATTCATAAAAGAATCAAGATTTAGAGAGATAGTATAGGCGCTGGTAATTTCAATAGGCATTACTGTACGCTTCATCATTATTATTAAAGATTTTTTTAAATTTTTATCCAAAGTGAGCCATTCTATTTCGAAAATATTATCTATAAATTGGCGACTCTATTTATGAATATAGAAGACATATAAGAGTTACATATTTTTAAACATTCTTATATTTCTATAAAAAATTTTTTAAATCTTAATTATCTATATATTATTAAAGTATGATAATAATTATAATAATTCTTAAGTTAAAATCATCAATTCTAGAAAGATTAATATAAATTCTAAAATTCTAGAAAGATTAATATAAATTAAAAATAATTACAAATGAATACTTATCAATCTTTCGCATAATTATTCTATTTTAATTTCAAAAATAACATAAAGCTTGAAAATTTATTTATTACATTTACATAAAAATATGAATATAAAATCCTAAAAAAATAAAAATTTTTAAAATAAATATATATACTTCAACATTAAAATTTTGCTAATAATGAAAATTAAGTTTGTACCTCGTACCTTTAGTCTTACTTCGTTGCCATACCAACAATAAACAAAAATTTGTGTGAGCATGCAACCCATGAATAATGCTAATCGAATACATCTTGCATCCAATTTTGATAGACTTATTACATAAAGATTGAAACATACGACAAGCATACTCATTAGAAATTGAATAGTAATAACCATTCTAAAATTCGCATTAACAAGAAAAGCCAATCTGAAACAAAATTCACAATAAGCACTATCTATAATACATAATAAGAAATTAGTTTTATTACATCAAAATATTAATAAAGAGTGAAAGTAAATATATATTATTTTCTAAATATATTCACATATTTTATACATATTTTATTTAAATAGAACATATTTAAATAGGATATTGAATCATATCATATATTATAAAAGTTAACCTAAAGATTTTACAATGTTGTTGGACGCAATTACGAAGACCATCTGAATGAAGCATGATTCTCTTCAAACGATATGTCAAAATTTCATATTGACAGCAAACATGAACTAATAATCCACAGATGAGACTGTCACAAGCGACGTTTACTAAAGCACCCATAGTTAAACCTATCAATTGATGAATGTATAATATGCAAAATAAAGTCATAGATGAATATTCGAATGGCACCCACGCTCTATATGTCAACTTTTTTTGACCAAAATTTGTTAATAAAGATGTAATCGTAATAATGACGCACGTTACCATACACATAGCTGTATAATGGAAAGTGTTAAGCCTGTAATATAACTTTAAACATATTTTTTTTCTTTTCCAAATATTTTTTCTTTAGAGATTAAAAAACCTTATAATTATTCGCTTAAAAATATGAATAAATCTAATTAAGAAAAATTTATTTAAAACAATGTAAAGTCAAGAATAAATTGATGTCGAATAAATTTAAAGGATTTATAACAAGAAAAATTTTATTTAAAATAATTAAAAAATTAAATTAAATATAAATTGATGTCAAACAAATTTAGAAAACTTACAGAAAATGTAATAAAGCCATACGTTAACGTACTTTAAAATAATTTTGTAATGATATCATGTTAATTATTGTTTGCTAAATACTTACTGTATGCTATTATCAAATTTGTAATAAATCTCTATTTCATTCAGTTTCAATGGTTTGCAAGGTTCTTTCGTCAGAATATCAATCAATTTAATAATATTTTTGCGATTTGCCAATAAACTGAATAATTTAAAGCAAGTTATAATCATAGGAAGTAATATGCAAAAGTTGTCACAGAAATCGTCCGTATTATCCACAATGAGAATTATATCCATGAATTGCGATAATGTAAAACTATTTACTATCAAAATTATTAGAATTGTGTACATTCGATACATTATACGTTTATATATCGATGTCCATGATTGTGGCTGCCAACAACCACATATTGTCAGCACTTTAAAAGGAAATTCCAACACATTCATTTTTAATTTTTTCTGTTCACCAATATCCGTTACATGATAGTAAAAATTGACAATAATCGAATATTGTAAATCTGTTTTCACTTTTTTTTGGAATTATTGTTTATATTTTATCTAATTTATTTTTCTCAAGTATTGCATTAAATTTATCAATATCTTGCTTTTTCAATGATCAGATATACAATACATAACAAAGCTCACTTTATTATAAATTATTTGTGCTGCGGATGCAGCTTTAGACAAAGCTTTAACATTTGAGATAACTAAAATAAAAAATTGTATAATATAAAAAATTTTTTATACACGAATCTAAAAGAAAGACATGAAGTACAATTCGTAGAACAATTGCCAAAGGTCTATAATTTCTGCCAATCTTCTATGAAATAGTGGCTTTCTTTCGTAATCGATAATCTATTTATTTCTACAACAACTGTCCCTTATAATATAGTATTCCCATGAATCGATAATGAAGCAGAGTTTGCATGGCAATCTTTGCATGTCCGCTAAAGACAGATTGAATTAAAAAGAAGAATATTTAAATATTAAAACGTCGCTTATAATACAGTTTGGCATAAATTATTTATATAGACAAATTATACTTTTGCAAGAAAACATTTAATTTAACGTTGTACGCCGTAATATCACATTACATTATATTTTCCTTTTATATATTGATGCAGTCGTTAAAATTTCTAATGGAGGAGTTCAAAACGCATGAGTATCTATATCAATAATATGGAAATAAGTGAAACATACAATATAATATAATAAAAAATATTGCAGAATATAAACTGTCATATTATTTGATTACTAATGTCATAAAAAAATATAAAAATAAACTATATTAAAGTACATAATATAATATACAAAATATAGTAAAACGTACAAAATTAAAATGCGAACTGTTTGTTTATTCATATGTACTCTTTAAAAAATTATAAAATTTGCTACCAATTTATTATTGATTTAGCTCAAATTTCACAATTGTCAGGAATCATTTTGCTTTTATACTTATCTTCCTTTTTAGGACTTTTTTCCTTTTAGACTTTTTTAGATACTGAGAACTTTCACCAACGTTAAAGTGTTTTTCCATGTTGGAAGAGTTATATATTATATAATTTTTTTTGTAATATGTAATTATATAATATTTCATTATAATTTTTTTTATAATTAAAACATTAATCTTATATTATTTCAACATAAGCAAATAAATACATTTAAGCCAAAATAAAAAATAAATATTAGGGTATTACGTTATACAAGACTATAATTAGATTTACTGATATCCTACGATAAATTTTGATTGAATAAATCTTGATAAGCAATATAAGTCGTGATGAACTATATATTAGAAAATTTAAGTGTAAAGTAAATTAATTCATTGACGTAGCAATATATTACGATGCAATACGATTAAATTTGATTGAAAAATTCTGTTTTTTGGGAATTTCAAATTAATTATTAATTAAATAACGAATAATTAGTTATCGCGCGCCTCGGATTATTTAATATTCTGTAATACACACATTTAGGCTAAATATTTTGCATTCTGCCGCATTTTAAATCAAGATGGTAATCAATTCATGTAGTCATTATTGCATATAAAATCTAATATTTATGTAAAAAATAATTTACATTAATTTGGTCAGAATAACTATTTATATTTAAATTAAATTAATATTATTATTTTACGCCAAATTTTCGAGAAGAAAATTTCTTTTCTTAAATTTGAAAATTTTTTATTGTAGTTTATTATGTAATATATAGTTTAAGGAAACAACGCGTATATAGCGCGTGCTTTGTAATATTCTAATAAGCTAACAATATAAATATTGTAATATGAATATATAAATATAATCTAACTCTTTTACCCAAATTAGTTGTACTGCTATTCCTTCATTTGTTGAAGCAAATTGTAAGTCGAATATGATGTCTTAAGAACCTACAAATAAATATATGTATATATATATATATATATAAAACTCTTACATTTATGTACTGGTATATTAGATAATTTTGTCAATAATGAAATATAACAAAAAAACATTTAAAATACAACACCTAAAAAATGTTTTAATCTTTATAATCTTTAGCTCTGTCTTTTAATGTAATTAAGTAAAATTGTACTGAACTAAAGCTATGTTAAATTTGATATTATTAATGCAAATATTTTAAATGTAATGAATATAATATTGCATTTTTTTAAATTGATTAACACATCCATTAAAACATAAAGCCATTGCTTATGTAAACTAAAAACTTGAAATTTCGTTCCAAAATCAACTTCAGTCACACATTTGATATTTTTATACTTACATTCATAAAAGAATCAAGATTTAGAGAGATAGTATAGGCGCTGGTAATTTCAATAGGCATTACTGTACGCTTCATCATTATTATTAAAGATTTTTTTAAATTTTTATCCAAAGTGAGCCATTCTATTTCGAAAATATTATCTATAAATTGGCGACTCTATTTATGAATATAGAAGACATATAAGAGTTACATATTTTTAAACATTCTTATATTTCTATAAAAAATTTTTTAAATCTTAATTATCTATATATTATTAAAGTATGATAATAATTATAATAATTCTTAAGTTAAAATCATCAATTCTAGAAAGATTAATATAAATTCTAAAATTCTAGAAAGATTAATATAAATTAAAAATAATTACAAATGAATACTTATCAATCTTTCGCATAATTATTCTATTTTAATTTCAAAAATAACATAAGGCTTGAAAATTTATTTGTTACATTTACATAAAAATATGAATATAAAATCCTAAAAAAATAAAAATTTGAAAATAAATATAACTTCAACATTAAAATTTTGCTAATAATGAAAATTAAGTTTGTACCTCGTACCTTTAGTCTTACTTCGTTGCCAAACCAACAATAAACAAAAATTTGTGTGAGCATGCAACCCATGAATAATGCTAATCGAATACATCTTGCATCCAATTTTGATAGACTTATTACATAAAGATTGAAACATACGACAAGCATACTCATTAGAAATTGAATAGTAATAACCATTCTAAAATTCGTATTAACAAGAAAAGCCAATCTGAAACAAAATTCACAATAAGCACTATCTATAATACATAATAAGAAGTTAGTTTTATTACATCAAAATATTAATAAAGAGTGAAAGTAAATATATATTATTTTCTAAATATATTCACATATTTTATACATATTTTATTTAAATAGAACATATTTAAATGGGATATTGAATCATATCATATATTATAAAAGTTAACCTAAAGATTTTACAATGTTGTTGGACGCAATTACGAAGACCATCTGAATGAAGCATGATTCTCTTCAAACGATATGTCAAAATTTCATATTGACAGCAAACATGAACTAATAATCCACAGATGAGACTGTCACAAGCGACATTTACTAAAGCACCCATAGTCAAACCTATCAATTGATGAATGTATAATATGCAAAATAAAGTCATAGATGAATATTCGAATGGCACCCACGCTCTATATGTCAACTTTTTTTGACCAAAATTTGTTAATAAAGATGTAATCGTAATAATGACGCATGTTACCATACACATAGCTGTATAATGGAAAGTATTAATCCTATAAAAATATATAAACATATTCACTTAATATTTTTATTATATATTTAATATTTCATTTATTATTTTTTTCCTTAGTATTTATTTTTTATTAGTTTCTTATTTAAAGAATAGATAAAAATGATCTTATACAATAATTATATATAATAAGAAAATTGTATATAATGAAGGAGATAACGAATCAAATCGTGAAATAAATTTCAATAAAATTGAAATAACATAAAGCTAAAATGTTAAATTTAAATTAAATCCAAAGAATATTTACAAGACATACATGTTAAAATGATTATTAGTGAAATCAATAATAAATAGTGACAATTATTGATTGTTAATACTTACTGCATGCCTTTATCAAATTTATAATAAATTTTTATTTCATTCGGTTTCAATGGTTTGCACGGTTTTTTCATTAGAATATCGGTTAATTTAATAATGTTTTTGTGACTGCCCAGTAAGCTAAACAATTTGTAGCAAACTATGATCATAGGAAGTAATACGCAAAAGTTATCGCAAAAATCATCTGTGTTGTCCACGATTAGAATTATATCCATGAATTGCGACAATACGAAACTATTTATTAGTAAAATTACTAGAAATGTATACACTCGATATATTATACGTTTATGTACCGATGTCCAAGATTCCGGCTGCCAGCAACCACATATTGTTAACACTTTAAAAGTAAGTTCCAATATATGCATCTTGAATTTTTTTCTTTCGGTCATCATCCATCACATATGAATAACAATAGAAAAAACTTGATTTTTTTATTGTACTAATGTAATGCTTTCAAATTTGCTTTCAAATTTGCTTTTCAAATTTGTTTTTAATTATTTTTTTATTATATAATTATTACCTGATTAATTATATTATATCTTGTTTGCCTTATTAATATATTGTTAATTTTATATTGTTTCTAACAATATATTTCACGATTTATATTTTTTCACAAATATTTAACTATATGTTGTATATTATAACTGAAAATATATTTTTTCTTTCCTTGTGTAAACTACTTGTGCTTTAAATTAATTTTTAACAAAAAGATCAATTAAAATTGATATAAATAAAATAAAGAGAGAATGATTCAAATAACATTATCTTAAAATTTTTTACACACAAATATACAAAAACAATGTGTAATTCTTCAGCGACTAACGAAAACCTATAAATGTGCCGTTCTTTTCAGAGATAATATTTCTCAGAGAAATTTCTTCTTCAATCATTAGTCTTGTTCTTTGCAATAATCAATAGTCTTATTCTCTCTCTTTGTGTGCAATAATCCCTTACAACATAATATTTTCATGAATTTAAAATGCAGTATATAGATGCAGAGTTAGCATGGTTTCTAAGCGCATGTCTCTTAAAGACGGAAAGTAAAAGAAATAAAAAGAGGAACAATTGAACAGTCACTTATAATACATCTCTATACATATTTTACATAGATTAATTATATTCTTGTCTGCAAGGAAACGTTTTATTTTTCGATATATGATAGTTGTATCACATTGAATTTTTCTTTCATATATATATTGATTCTCAATATACAATTCTCAATATACTGGATACAATTTCTAATAGAAGATATCTAAAATATGACATTAATAATATCGAGTGAAAGATAGATATGTATAGCATGATAAAAAAATTCTCCAGGATATTAAACCATATAATTTGATTACCATAAAAGATAAATAGAGAATGTATTAAAATATAAGTATTTGTGTGCATATGTGTGTTTAAGATGAAAGATATATGTGTGTGAATATAAAAAGATATATTTACTTAAATTCCTTTTATTAATTTAAAATTGCGACAAAGAATCAACACTAATTATAATATTTTTCTATTTATATTTTTACGAATAATAACACAAATTACGAGAATAATACAACATAAGGATATTTTTATATAAAACGCATTTTTAATATAATAAACAATAAAATTTAATAAAATCATTAAATATTGCATAGCTAACAAAAATCTATAACATATTGAAATAGACTTGGCAAAAAAATATTTAAATTAATTTTATATGTTGCAATATTATATATATGTAAATTACATATGCAAACATTAAAGAAAAAATTTTTAACAATTATGATGGCATTTTTTGATGGAATAGTTTAATGTAATGGGAAATTTAAATAGTTTAATTTGATATTTTTATTTATTTAATTACTACTATATATTATACGTGATAAAATATTGACTGTTATATTTATGATATTAACAGCTGAATAAAATAATAATATTAGTGTACCATATAAACATAAGTCAATTATTATTATTCCATTTGTTGAAGTAAATTATAAGCCGAATATGACGTTTTAAGTATCTACAACAAACATAGATGTCCGTAATCCTAATTTATATTTATATATTGATATATTTAGTGATTTAACCAAAATAAATAATAATTAGTTAATGATAAAATATGATATAGACAAATATAAAATGCAATATTTCAATTTTTATTGGTTTAACATAATTAAATTTTAAATTTAAATTAATTAGATTTTATTAGATTTGACACAATTAATGCAAATATTTTAAATATAATAAATTTTCCTTTTCTTCCAAATTGATTAACAGTTTTATTTAAATACTGACTATCATTCTTATGCAAAATTAAAGAGCGTTTGCAAAAATCAATTTCTATCGTATATTTAATATTTTTTATACTTACACCTACAAAGGAATCAAGATTCATGGAGATAGTGTAAGCACTGGTAATCTCAATAGGCATTGTTGTACGCTTCATTATTATTATTAATGACTGTTTTAGATTTTCATCCACCTCTAACCATTCAGTTTGAAAAATATTATCGACGAATTGGCGACTCTACTTAAGTATGTAGAAAACATTTTGCTTATATATATATATATGTATATATATATATATATATATATATATATATTGTATATATGTATATATTGTATATTAGGTAATTATTCGGAAAATGGTACACCTCATCGATTTTATTGCTCTTTGGATATGTTGTGGAGAAAATTATTCTGAGTAAATCTCTGCAAAAATCAAGTGGGGGACGACATTGGTTTAGGAGATATAACATGTTAAAGTTTCAAAATTTTAATGCTTGTTGCCGCAATATCTCACCATTATACGACTCTATTTAAAAATGTAAACATGTTTAGTTTTGTGTGATATCGGTGTTATACATTTGCAAAATTCACTTCTATCATCCTCTGCTTTCGGTACTAAGCGAGGTCCACCTTTACCATCCCCTGCTTTCGGTACGAAGCGAGGTCTATAATTGTACTTTTCACGCGAAGCAAGGTTCACCCCTACAAGTACACGCCCAGACTGCACACCCCCCCCACCCCCCCCGTTGCAAACTCCATGCAAAGGAAGATTTCACATGGGTTCGCAACGGGGGGGTGGGAGGTGGGGGTGGGGTGGGGGGGTGGGGGGTGTGCAGTCTGGGCGTGTACTTTGTAACGCAAACATGTGCTTTTGAGAACGTAAACATGTTTACATTTTTGAATAGAGTCGTATAATGGTGAGATATTGCGGCAAGAAGCATTAAAATTTTGAAACTTCAACTTGTTATATCTCCTAAACCAATGTCGTCCCCCACTTGATTTTTGCGGAGGTTTACTCAAAATAACTTCCTCTACAACATATCCAAAGAGCGATGAAATCGGTGAGGTGTACCATTTTCCGAATATTTACCATAATAAATATTGATTTTTCTAAATCATTCTATATTAATTTTAAAAAGTGCTGAAGAGTTTAAATATTTCTTTTTTATATTTATATTCAATATGTTACATAAATATAAATATAAATATAAAAAAATAGAAATATTTTTAAAAATAAATAACAATTTTAATATTAAAATATTAAAATATTATACTAATAATAGAAATTAAGTGCTTGCACCTTTATTTTGACTTCGTTACCATACCAGCAATAGACGAAAATTTGTGTTAACATGCAACACATGAACATTGCTAATCGAATATATCTTGCACCTATTCTCAATTGAGTTAATTGATAGAGATTAAAACATACTACCAACATACTCATTAAAAACTGAATAGTAATAACCATTCTAAACGTCGCATTTACAATAAAAGCAAATCTGAAGAAAAAAAATATATAATACATCATTTTTATATTTATATTTATAAGATAGAGGAGTAAATAAAATATGTTCTATATATATATATATATATATATATATATATATTCTATATATATTATATATATTCTATATATATATATATATATATATATATATATATATTTACTTATTTTTACATAAATCATATTTAAAATAAAATAATTCAGTTTTATGGTTCTTCCATTATTATTTTTTTCATTAATTCATAATGCGTTTTATTTATTATTAATGTATAAATAATTTTTCTAATAAAAATAATATATATGTACGTACGTATAGGGCATTATATTACATTGAAATTAATTATTACGTATTGTTTTCTATATACTTTGGCATATCATATTTATATTAAATGAAAGATTGTTAAGTTTGTAAAATATAATATAAATATTGTATTACACTAACCTGAAGATATTGCAATGTTGTCGCACGCAATTACGAAGAGTGCCTGAATAAAGCACGATTTTTCTTAAACGATATGCCAAGATTTCAAATTGACAGCAAATGTGCACTAATAATCCGCAAATAAGACCATCACAAGCAACGTTCAACAAAGCACCCATAATCAAACATATCAATTGGTGAGCGTATAATATGCAAAATACGATCGTAGATGAATATTCGAACGGTACCCATGCTCTGTACGTTAATTTTCCTTCACCGAAATCCGTTAATAAAGATATGAACGCAATACTTGTGCATGTCACTAAGCCCAGAGTTGCATAATGCAAAGTGTTAACTCTATAAAATGACTGCACATTTATGTTTCCCCGTACTTTTTTGTTTAAGAGGTGCAGCAATTTAATATTATATCTTAGCATATATTATATATTTGCAAACTTAAGAAACAGATATTAAATTTAAATTTAAATTTAAATCAAGAAAAAAAATTATTAATAATGAGAAAAGACTAATAAATGTAAAAAAAATTAAAAGTTGGTATTTACAATTTCAGAGAATTTTTATAACTTGAAATATGTTACGATAATTATTTTCAGTGAACAATTAATAATATAGTTATTGTAATATAATTATTGTTGGTTAAATAGAACTTACTGTATGCCTTTATCGAATTTATAGTGAATTTCTATCTCATTCGGTTTCGATGGTCTGCATGGTTCCCTTGTTAAAATGTCAGTCAATTTAACAATGTTTTTATGATTTACCAATAAACTAAGCATTTTATAACAAGAAATAAACATAGGAAGCATAATACAAAAATTATCAGAAAGATCATCAGGATTGTCTACGATAAGAATTATATCCATAAATTGCGACAATGTGAAACTGTTTACTAACAAAATTACTAAAACTGTATACACTCGATATATTATGCGTTTATATATCGACGTCCAAGACTTCGGTCTCCAACAACCGCATATTGTTAATACTTTAAAGGTAAATTCCAACACTTGCATTTTGTAAAATCTATTTGTGTTTTCTGTTTAATTGATGTTATTATTAATTATATTAAATGCAGTAATATAATTTACTTGCGAAATACAATCAAATTGATTGTCTATAACATGTTTACATATTATATTAATAAAAATTTTTTCATATATTTTTATTTTATTTTTTTAATTAATTGTAAACTATATAGTTATATATATATATATATATATATATATATATATAATTATATATATTAATTTTTATCAGGAGGATATTAATTAAGTAATAAATAAAAGAGTAATATGAATGTCATTATAATTAAAATTCTTTATACTATATGCAGAAGAGAATAACGCGCAACACAATTCACATAGAACGACTGAAACTTTATAACTTCGTAGCTCTTTTCCAAAGTAGTATTTGCACTTAGTTTTTCCCCTCGTAATCAATGGTTTTAATATTTATTGTGCAACAATGTCTGTTACATAGTATTTCATTGAATCAAAAATGCAGGATACAGCTGCTATGTCCCTATAACGATTTCTGAGCGCATGTCACTTGAAGGCGGAACGTAGAGGAAATAAAAGAGGAAACGTTTAAATATTAAACAGCACTTATGTAAGCCATTCTAACGTAATAATCATATAAGTAAAATATACTCTCTCTTTTGAATGAAAACATTTTATTAACGGTTATACGCCGAAATGCCACATTGTATTAATCTTTCTTTCTTGTATGTTGATTCCTATAATAGAAGAATTTAAAGCATATGGATATATATAATCGATAAAATATCGAATGTACATTAATATAACATGATAAAATAATTTTGCAAAATATTAAGCTATTAAACAACTATTCGATTATTACTATTATAACGCATAAATAAAAAAATGTGCTTAAAGTATATAACACATAGTAAAAAAAGAATAAAAGAAACAGAGAAAGATCTAAAAAATGTATTTAATTACCTTTTATTCTTTCATCCATCAAAACTACATGATACAAGAATTATCGCTAATTATAATAATTCATTATGCTGGGTTATATTAAAAATTTAATATTACTTAAATGTAAGCAACGTAAGATTAAATTTATGTAATTACCCAATATATTGTCTTTCCTATACTTGCTGCAATATGTTGAAAGCTGAATATGAAGTTTTAAGTAACTGCAAACAAAAATATTATATATATTATAATAATTAAATATATTATAAGATCTCTCTTTGCTCGAATTATTAAAATGAAATCAATAAACGTTTCATATAATAATTTATTAAATTTTTGTATAATATATATGTTGTATATATATATATATATATATATATATAAATATATATGCAATTATTTTGATTGTATATATTTATTGCTAAAAGAATTGATTTTATTTTTTTTATATCCAGATTTATATATGCATTAAATATTAAATATAAATTTTTTGCGCTCGCCCGTTAATCTTGTGCGATAATAAGAAACATTTTATACTAACACCTACGAAAGAATCAAGATTCATAGAGATGATGTAAGCGCTGGTGAATTCGATTGGCATTGTACTACGTCTCATAATCAATAACAAAGCTTTCTTTACATTCTGGTCCAACATATACCATTTTATTTCAAAAATATTATGGATGAGTTGTCGGCTCTATATTTATTATAATATTATATAACATTTGCTTATTCACATATTAATTGTATATTTTTTTAACATATAAATAAATTATATATTTAATTATTATTAAAATACATAAAATTATGAGAATTCTATAAATATATAGATTAAATTATTAATTTATTTATTACAATTATTATAATTAATTGTTTTCTATGTGATTTAATAATCGTATACCTTTAATTTTACTTCATTTCCATACCAGCAATAAAAAAAGATTTGCGTCAGCATACTACACATGTACAATGCCAATTGAATATACTTTGCTTTCGTTGTTGTCGTTCTGGTTAATTGATATAGATTAAAGCACACCACCAATGTGCTTACTACAAACTGAATAGTAATAGTGAATCTGAACTTCTCATTGACCGCAAAAGCAAGACTGTAATTAAACGCGATCATTTCTTTTAATGCCTACAAGTCGAGAAATGGAATCGATATTTTTGCATCGATATTTTTATCGATGCAACAATAATAATATGTATAAATAGTGTTCTTGTAATATTAATTATATTATATATAAATATATGTACAAACTCGAAAATACGATTATGTTGCAGGATACAATCGTGTAAGATATCAGGCTCGCGTGCTATTCTTCTCAATCGAGATTCTAGTATCTTGATCTGACAACAAATGTGCACCAATAGTCCACAAATAAGACCATCGCAAGCGACATGAAGAACGGATCCCATTATCAAACTTATCAACTGATGAGCATACGTAATATAATATAAAAATGGCAATGAATAATCATATGGTAGCCAGGCTCTAAATGTCAGCATTCGTTTCCTGAAGTCCGTTAATAATGATGTCAATGTGATGCATACACAAGTTGTCTCAACCAGAATAGCGTAATGTATCGTGTTTGCCCTGAAAAATAACTGTAGACATTGTTGCATATCATTTGTTATTAGTGTTTTGTTTAATATTATAATTTTCTATTTTTTTAATATGTAAATTTATTATTAAAATTTTAATACGTGATATTTTTTTAATATATTATAGAACGATATAAAAAAAATTAGTAGCAGCATTAGTCAGAAATATTTAAATCTCAACTTTGCGTTTTAAAATCATGTCATACATTTTTCGTACCTGGATATTAATTTTAATATAACATTTATTATAAAAATTTTCATTTTTAAAATACTTACTGCACACCCTTATCAAATTTGTGATATATTTCCATTTCATTTGATTCCAATGGCTTACAGGGCTTTTCCGTGAGAATGTTGGTCAATATTGCGATATTTTTGCGATTCATCAACATACTAAGCATCTTACAACAAGAAACGATCATCGCGAGTAACATGTAAAAATTATCGGTGAAGTCGTCAGGATTATCCACGGTAAGAATAATATCCAATAATTGTGATAGGGTAAAGGTATTTATTAACACAAGTATGAAAACTGTATGCATATGGTATATTACGCGTTTACATGATGACGTCCAAGAATCCGGCCGCCAACAACCGCAAATAATTAAGAATTTAAAAGTGGAATCTAATATGTGCATGTTGTGAATTTTATATCTTTTCTTTGATATTCCATTTACACAGCATAAAAATTAAAAAATGTAGAAATTTACATAAAAATTCTAATATGTAATCTATATATATTCTTATATATTCTTATATATAATATATCTATATATTTTTTTCTATAATTCTTTTTTATAATCAGGTAAAGATTTAAATATATATATTAAAGATATATATAATTTGCTTATTCAATTTTCTCACACAGACATCTATACTAAAAATGAAATATATGAAAAGATTATCGATACAATTTTTTCAAGTGAAATTCTAAATGCGATGTTATAATCAAATTGCTCGCTCGAATAATAATCGAATGTACAATAAATTGTCTAGAAGAACAATCTTGAAATGCCTATAGAGCCACGATTTCTTAACGAACTCTTCGACTTTTACATATAATTTTTCCCTCCATATATGATTATCTTTATTATTAAAAATACAACTGTGTCCCTTGTATGAAATAACATTGTGAAATAATCGTGCAACACGGATATTCAATATAAAACTTTGTCTTATTGAGGAGAGCGAGAGTGTGTGTATCAATACAAATTTAAAACAAATTACATGTTAGCAAGAGTTGTCAAAGAAAAAATAACTCTCAAATGTCACATACACACGGTCCGTATACTTATGTTGTAAAATATTAATATTGGTAACTCCCATGCTTCTCTCTCTATCCCTCTCTTGGAAATATTTAATAAAGTTGTAAATTTACCATATCGAACAGATTTTCTTTCCCATATTGATTCATGTCTATAATTTCTAATTTAACACTCACATGTATATGCAGTCTCCAAATGATATAATCATAATCGTACTATTAACGTGCAATGTGTAAATAAAACTTATATTTTAACGTAAACAATAAAATATATGATACATATAATAATTTTTTAATTATAATTTTTCTTGTATAGAATTAGTGATATATATAATATATGATATGATAAATTATAATATCGGTATAAAATATTTTACTCTACGATGCTTATAAGCATATATTCATGACATAGATTTATATTATATTAAAAGATGCCACTATTTTTTTTTAATTGGTATCTAATATTATGAATCTTGCGTTTGCTGAAGTATATTGTAAGCAGAATACGATGTTTTGAGTAACTGCAATTAAAATTATTAATATTGTAATTTACAATCAGTTGCAGGTGTGTACATGATTAAATTTGATTACGCAATATAACAAAATGTTCGAAAATTTCGTAAAAAAATATTTAAAATATTCTTAATACGAAAAAAATTTTATTTTTAATAGATTACTTCTTATTAGTTACTTTTTTTATTGATTACTTCTTTTTATTAAAAGAGGCTGAATTAATATTTTCGATATTATAATTTTGAATACGATCTCTACTATTATTTATAGAACGACAATTAATTTTGATACTAACACCCACAAATGAATCAAGATTCATAGAAATAACAGAGGCACTGGTAAATTCTATTGGTACTATACCGCGTCTCATGATCAATAATAAAATTTTTTTGGCATTTTCATTCAGTTCGAACCACTCCATCTCAAACACATTATTCACCAATTGCCGACTCTGTATATTTAATGAGCCAAGAATTTTATTATTTATTTGTTCCACATATATATGTACTAAATATACTAAATGTTCATGTAAAAGAGATAGCACGTACTCTTAATTTAACTTCATTCCCGCACCAGCAATAAAAAAATATTTGCGATAGCATGGAGCACATATACAGTATTAATTGCATATACTTTGCTCTTAATGCGGTTGACTTAGTAAATTGATACAAATTGAAACACACTACTAGCGTACTTACAATAAATTGAATAAATATAGTTATTCTGAATTTATCATTTACCATATGAGCGAACCTAGAATTAATCGCAAACGTAACTCTCGAAAATTGAGATGATATATAAATGCGTATAAAAAATGTGCAGTATATCAGTAGAAAATATTTGACAAAAAGAATTTCATATTGCCGAAAAAATAATATACAAATTTATTTTCTCCTAACTTATATAATATAAAAAAATCACTTAACTGTGCTATAAAGTTATTACGCAAATATTAATGATGAAAAAATATTTTTATTTGTAACGTTAGTTATGGAAACGAACTTGAATATATGATTGTGCTGAAGAGCACAGTCTTGAAGAATTTTCGGATTACGTGTGCCTTTTCTTATACGACATTCCAATATCTCTAGTTGAGAGCAAATATGCACTAATAATCCGCATATAAGACTGTCGCAAGCAACATGATGAACAGATCCGACTGTAAAACTTATTAATTGATGAGCGTATACAAAGAGAAATAGTAGAGGTGACGAGTAATCGAATGGCAGCCATGCCCGAAATGTCAATTTGCCTTTTTTAAATTCTGTCAATATCGACGTTATGGTAACACACAGACACGTTGTCTCGACCAAAATAACGTAGTAAAATGTATTTGATCTGTAAAACGACTATGAACATTTTCACATTGCACTTTTTATTTAATATTTTTTTCGCAGAAAGCATTACATCTTATTATATGTATTCGCATAAATTAAAAGAGGAAATTGAATTATTTTGGTAGATAATTTTGCTCTAAATTTAAATGCTACATATTAAAATTATGCAAAAATCACCGAATATTATCAAATAAAGCAATAAGATTTTCACAATACTTACTGTATTAATCTCTCATATCTTTGTCGAATTTCCATTTCATCAGATTCAATCGGCTGAAGCGGTTTTCTCATAAGAGTATCAATTAACATATCAATGTTGTTGCGATTTATTAATAGAGCAAACATCTTGCAGCAAGAAACAATCATGGCAAGTAGTACGTAGAAATTATCGGTAAAATCATCGGAATTGTCCACAGTCATAATCAAATCCATCAGTTGCGATAACATAAACGTATGTATTAGCAGCAATATGAAAATTGTGTATACGTAATAGACTAACCGTTTGTACGGTGTTGTCCAGGAGTCCGGTCGTCCGCAGCCGCAGATCGTCAATATTTTAAATGTAAAGTCTAATATACGCATTATTATAACGTATCTTTCTTAACGTTATTTATTAGTGCTTTCCTTTCGAGAAAAATTATGTCAGATTTTACATTATATACCTATGTTTTATATATATATACATGTACATCAGTCTTAAAAATTGTGTATATAAGAATATATATAAAGATACTGTCAAAAATTTTTAAAAAAAATCTTGAATAAATATATCTTGAATAAATATATCTTGAATAAATCTTGAATATATATATATATATATATATATATATATATTTTTCTTTTCTAATTAATTGAAAAAAATGTTAAGCATTTAGTAATATAGCATAATTATTTAACTAATTTTTCAAAAATCTGTACAACAATTTAGACTGGTAGTCAAATTACATCTCAAACAATAATTTTCTGAAATTACTGTATCAAATAGTAATATTATGAAAATAAAAATATTTTTCGTAAAACAAATTGATGCGCTTAGATAAAATCTTATGGCAAACTGACCATAGAATGTCTATAGCTTCACTATATCTTCCATACAATAATACATTCCAACTTCCTCCTTTGACATCTTTTATTATTCAGATTGTGCAATTATGTTCCTCGAATAGATATTATTTTTATGCAATCGTCTAAACACATACTTGATATTGCGATATTATAACATAATAATGCTTCACTAGAATTTTGCTTGATATTACATGTCATGAGGAATAAAAAAATAATAACTCTTGAATATCGAAGCTCTATGTACTTATTGTTAAAATATTAATGATTTATACTTCAGCTATATACTTAATTCATATAGGTGTGACACTTCCACAGTAAACTACATATTTTTCTTTCTTATAATTTTTTAACGGATGCTAGAAAAATTTTTAAATGATACGAATATAACTGAATTAGCGTGCAAAATATGTAAGTAAAAATATCACATTACCAAAGATTATAATATTGTATATAATCATTATTATATTAAGTATATAATCAAAGTGACGCGATAGCGTTGTGACGCCTGGTATATAAAAATTTCTTTCTGGCTTGTCAACTGTTTTGCCTATGTACAGGAATATGTACACGATGCTATCAAGTAGCTTATTTGAAATATAACATAATTTATATATATTTATATATAATAATAATAATAAAACAAGAGAACCAAAAACAAGTGTACATATATATACACACTAATATTGGTTAAAGTAATATAAAAACATGTATTTTAACTTCTTTAAAAATTTCTTTCTTTTTCTTTTCTCTTTTTCTCTTTATACGTGCATGATATAAATTCATATTAGTCTTATGACAAAATATAAATTATAATATTTTTTTAAAATTTTATCTTTAATATTAAAATTTTTACATTTGCTGAAGTATGTTATAAGCTGAGTATGATGTTTTAAGTAACTGCAATTAAAATTATTAATAATGTTATTTAAAATAAGTTAAATATATATAAAAATACCAATCTTTTTTTGTAATTATATTATATTAAAGTTGTTTTAAAAAGTATAGAAAAATTAATTCTTACGTTCAATATATAATAGAAAGTTTCTTTCATCAATACATATTAAACTCTTCTTATTTTATTCTTAATTGAATAATTTTTTTTCTTTAAAAAGTTAAACAAATAATGATAAATAAATTTTTATATATATATATATATATATATATATATATATATATGGCATTATAATATTATTTTATATTTTAGATTTTGACTGTTAATTATGTCATTTTAATACTAACATGCACAAATGAGTCGAGATTCATAGAGATAACATAGGCACTAGTAAGCTCAATTGGTATTGTACCACGTGTCATAATCATTAATAAAGATTGTTTAGTATAATTATCGAGTTCAAACCATTCCATTTCAAATATGTTATTGACCAATTGTCGACTCTGCGTTTAACAATATTTACATTTTATTATTTACTTAATTTATGCACAGTATATCATACAAAATTTTCAAATAACAAATATATATTGTCTGTTTCAAAATATATGTTTGTTTCATATATATATATATTTCTTTCAAAAATACAAACCTTCAACTTAACTTCGTTTCCATACCAGCAATATAAGAAAATTTGCGACAGCATGCAACCCATATACATTATTAATTGCATATATTTTGCTCTTGATGCAGTTGATTTAGTAAATTGATATAGATTAAAGCACATTACCAATGTACTCACAATAAACTGTATAACGATAGTCAATCTAAATTTTTCATTTATTAAGCGAGCAAGCCTGAAATATAACTACATGATTTTAAAATATAATATAATTATGAAAATAATCACATTAATCGCATAACAAAGTTAAAAGTTTAAAAATATTTCAAAATTCATAATAATTTATTAATTAGAATTATAGGAACAATATATTAAGTTCAAAGAAGTACAAGGTCATGAATAAATAAATTAATCGAAAATTCTGTAATTAATTTAAAATTCTCTAGTACGCAAAGTATATTTTTATATTTGATATTGTTGAAACTATTCTCTCAATCTTTTTTCTTTTGAATAATATAAACACAATTATAATATATTGATAACGAATATATTGGTAATCAAATGCTTGCAAAATATTTTTATACATATAATATTAGCTGCAAAATACCAACTTGAATACAGTATTGTGCTGAAGAACGGATTTGCGAAGATTATCTCGATTGCTTCCGATTTTTCTCAAACGGCATTCCATTATTTCAATTTGACAGCAAACATGCACCAGCAGACCACATATCAGACCATCACAACCTACATGGAGAACAGAGCCGGCAGTTAAACCTATCAGCTGGTGTATATATACTATGCGAAACAGTAACGGCGACGTATAGTTGAATGGTAACCATGCTCTGAATGTCAATCTTCCTTTACTGAACTCTGTCAGCAACGATGTCACGGCAATGCATATACACGTTGTCTCGACCAGGATTGCATAGTAAAGTGTATTTGTCCTGTAAAATGACTGTAGAGATTTTTCTGTTTCATTTTTCATTCAATTCTTGCTTCGACGTTAGCTTTGTTATTTATATCTCTCTTCAATCAAATACTTGTTATATCAAAAACAGCTTAATGTAGTAATCAACCAATTTTTAAAATATAATTTATTTATAATTTTAAAAAAAATTACATATTTTGATGTCATAAATATTATCATATATTAAAAATTATTGTAACTATAATAACACATATAATTAGCTCTTATTATATAAATATACTCACTGTATAAGTCTATCAAATTTCTGCTGAATCTCGATTTCGTCAGAATAATCTGGTCTACATGGTTTTCTTGTGAGAATATCGATTAACATTGTAATATTACTGCGGTTCATCAGCAAGGTGAACATCTTACAACAGGAAACAATCATGGCGAGAAGCATGTAGAAATTATCAGTAAAATCCTCAGCATTGTCCACGGTTAAAATTAGATCCATCAGTTGCGATAGCATAAACGTATGTATGAGTAGCATTATAAAAATTGTGTACACATGATAAACTAATCGTTTGTACGGTGTTGTCCAGGAATCCGGTATCCAACACCCGCAAATCATTAATATCTTAAACGTAAAATCTAACAGGCCCATATTTAAATTCTAATTTACTTTTCTGTCAAGATTATTTTAATATCCGTTCTCTAGAAAAAGCATCGATCATTAATCATTGTTTCAAAGATATTACAGCATTTTTTAATTTTCTTCTTTTAATTAATAATTAAATGTGAGATTCACAATATTACATGATACAATAATTATTCATATACTTGAAAACTTAACTGATAGTTAAATTATATTTCATCGGCGATTTTTTCCAGTCACGCAAGCTCAGATAGAATAAAATAATGAAAATGTTTTTCTGAAAAATATTATGAAGAAATCTTGAAAAAGACTGACAATCATAGAATAGTCTCGCGATCGTCCCATAATAATACGTTTATACAACTTTTCCCCTACTTTCCCCCTTCATATACGATAACTTTTATTATTTAGATTGCAATCTATATCCTTCCCATACCTCAACAACCCTTTATAGAATGCAGTCATTAAATATAGACTCAATCATAGATTACGATGTCATGATATAAAATGATATCTGAAAATAATAATAAATCATTAAATTATATATTAGAAGCTATATAAAGAATAGAAAATAGAATATTTAAAAGTTCTTGATAACATGATTGTTCTGCACTAATATAAAATATTTAATTTATTGCTTCTTTTTATTTTTGCAATATCTGTAATCAAACATTTTAACATTATATGGAATCTCACATATGTATTAACATAGAAACATAAATGGAAAATGTAAGTAAAGGAATTTGTGCATACATATTAACAAATATAAGCAATAAATTACATAATTTCTTATATATATATATATATATATATATATATATATATAATATATTAGAAATATATATTGAATTATAATATTAATAATACATAATATTAATATTAATAAAACAGTTCATCTCAATATTCTTAATTTTACATATATATTGTTAAAGGAATTATATAAAATAAAATAACATCGTTTTATTTGTCTTTATTATTTGGATCTTGCATTTGTTGAAGTATATTGTAAGTCGAATATGATGTCTTGAGCAACTGTAATAAATAAAATTTTCTTATTTTTTGTTTTAAAGATCTTTATAAAATATAATCATAGCATAAAGCTAATAAAACAATAACATTATATATATATATATATAAATTAATAATGACTATTTATATGATAAAATATAATCCTGACATAAAAATAATATTTTGCACTAACACCCACGAATGAATCCAGATTCATAGGTATAACATAAGCACTGCTAAATTCAATAGGCACTTTACTACATATTATAATTGTTAATAAATCCTTTTGTATGTTTTGTTCTAGCGTAAACCACTCTATTTGATATAGATTATTGATTAGTTGTAGACTCTATGTTCAAAAATCGAAAGTACATTTTAATCATTAATTGTAATTAAATAGAAAAATTAATTATGATATGATTAATTTTGATATTACTTATGTATATTACTTTGATGTAGGCATTTTATATAATTTTATGATCTAAAATTTCATACTTCTATATAAAAAAAGCTATATATTTGATATTTAAATGTGTTTTATTTATATGCAATGCAGAAAAAAATATTTATGTTAAATAAAAGAAATATTTTTACTTATTACATGAACTATATAATTAAACACATAAAAATATTGCAAGTGATAACATTTGTTTCAAAAGCACATACCTTCAGTTTAACTTCATTCCCATACCAACAATACAAAAAAATTTGTGTCAGCATGCACGACATATACATTCCTAATTCGACGAATTTCCCACTCGTTTTCGTCAATTGATATAAAGTGAAACATACTACCAATGTACTTACAAGGAACTGAAAGCTGATAGTAAACCTAAATTTTTTATTCAATAAGAAGGCACATCTAAAATCAATTAGAGGTATTTTTTAATATATTTAATTATCGATAAAAATATTAAATAAGTATAATAGTGATATAGAAGAATATAATGATAATAATTACAAAATCGAGTTAGCATTTCTGATTCACATATAAATATATATATATACAAAATAAAAAAATTAATGGAAAATATAAATTTAGACTACAAGTAATTATTCGCATGTAACATCATTTTGTCAATTTATTTATATAAAATTTAATTAAAAATTGTGACATATAATTATACAAGAAAATGTAAAAAAATATAGCTTCTTATCATAATATTAATAATAAAAACGAACTTAATTATATGATTGTGCTGAATGACGCAATCACGAAGCATTCTCGGATTATGTGCGATTTTGTTCAAACGATAACTTAATATTTCTATTTGACAGCATATATGCAATAGTAGTCCGCAAATAAGACCATCACAAGCAACATGTAAGACAGATCCAACTGTCAAACTTATTAATTGATGAAAATAAGTAAAATGAAAAATCGTTGCCGAGGAATAATAATCAAATGGTAACCAGGCTCTGAAAGTTAACTTTTCTTTCTTGTAGTCCGTAAGTAATGACGCTACCGCCGTAGATGCGCATGTCAATTCTACCAGAATCATATAATGTAAGGTATTCGTCCTGTAAAATAGCTGCAGATGGTTTTGCGTTTCATTAATAATTCGTTCTTTTCTTTAATATTAATTTTTCTTCAACATGAAACAATTTCAATTAAAAAACAACTTGTTCTAATAATACCTCCTAAATGTTACCTTTTTAGTACATATAATTCTGGGTAACAAAATATTTTAAATATTAACTCATTGCAAAGAAATATTACCATTTATTAAAAGTACATAGTAAAGTATTTAAAAATTTGAGCATCAAGAATTATAATGCTGCATTTAAAAAAAATTAAGTCAATCTTCAAATTATAAAGAATATAAATGATTTAATTTTTAGGTAACAATTAAAACGCTATTACTTTGGAATATTTACTCAATGAGTTTATCGAATCTCTGTCGTATTTCTATTTCGGCTGGTTCCAGTGGTCTGCACGGTCCGCTCATTAAAATGTCTGTTAGCATTGCAATGTTGCTGCGATTTATCAACAGACTGAACATTTTAAAACAAGAAACGATCATGGCAAGTAACATATAAAAATTATCCATAAAATCGTCTGGATTGTCGACAGTCAAAATTATATCCAAAAATTGCGATAACGTAAATGTATTTATCAATAAAAGTATAAAAATTGTATATACGTGGTACATTAATCGTCTGTAGAATGAATTGGTCCAAGAATTCGGTATCCAACAACCGCAACTAGTTAAAATTTTGAATGTAAATACTAATATGCTCATTTTAATTTTCATTGTTTTTCCGTCTATATTTTTCATGCAAAAATAATAAATAAATATCCACAAAATAAATTATTAGATATATAACATTCTCTATTTTTTGATTTTGATAAGATTGCGACTATATTTTTACATAATTACTTATTATGTACATTAATTTGCTGCAAAATTTGCAATAAAATTACGTATGTCACGTTATTGTTATAAATTGAAATTAATTCAATCGATTAACAATTATTTTGAAAGTAGCTTTAGTTGTTGTAGCGAGATGATCGATTATATATCAATACAACGCACAGTGAAGTCTTGAGAGAGACTAACGATTGTCTATACCCTCGCAATCTTTCAATTTCCCCTCTTCATATCCGATGATTTTTATTATTTAAATTACGAATGTGTCTTCCGCATAATAATATTTTTATAAGTAGTACAATCATTTAATGGATTCTTGATACTATATTATGACATAATAATATCTCATAAGAAAAATATTTTATGAAATTAGATGTTAGAAAAACTTAGGTTAAAAAAGTAAAAAACATTAGATCTTTTACAATCGTCTATAAAATGCAGTATTTTATCTTTCTATATCTTTTTCTTTTTCTTCGCTGAATGTCACAAAAATGTGGAATTTATAATCATATTGAATTTGATTATTCTTTAATTAAATTTTTTAATATATATCGAAAGGATAAACAATATAGAATCTTGCATATATATATATATATATATATATATATATCTTGCATATATATATATAATACTACATATATATCAATCAAATCAATTCAAATACGGATATATTGTAAAATTTAAATCAAAATAATGTACAAAACCATATAATGCAGATAAAATCATCATTTAAATCATTTTCCTATAGATACATTATAGAATGTAATATTATATGAGATAATTCTCTCCCACATATTAATACACATCGTTATAATATTGTGAAAATATCATTTTAATTTCTCTAATTTTATATCACATTATTTCTACAATATATGAGATATAACAATGTTAAATAACAATTTATTTACCTTCGACCGCTTCATCTCGCATTTGCTGAAGTATATTATAAGTCGAATATGATGTCTTGAGTAACTAAAATAAACACTTTATATGTTATGTTTAAAATTTTATATATATTCATTTTATAATTTTTACATTTTAAATTTATACACAATAGTCAATAATTGTATCGTACGAAAAATTAATTATATTATGAAAATAAATTTATTATACTAACACCCACAAACGAATCGAGATTCATGGGGAAAATATAGGCGCTCGTAAATTCGATGGGAAGGATACCGCACCTTGTAATTATCAATAAATCTTTCTTTACATCTTTCTCCAATGCAAGCCATTCTATTTCAAATAAGTTATTGATCAACTGCATACTCTACATCAAAAAATGCAAAACATTTTTTCACATTAATGTAGAAAAGATAAATTAATCTAGAATGAATTAATTTTAATCTCTTCAATATGTTACTTGACATAATAGTATTTGAAAACATTTTGTGCATATGAGTATGTATATATATTTTGTATGTTTTTTGTGTGAATTAATTATATGTGTGTGTGTGTGTGTGTGTGTGTGTGTGTATTAACATATACTAAAATGAGGAAATATTAATGAATATCTCTAATTGTAAGTCATATAATATAACAAAATTAAAAGAAAAAAAAACCGAATATAAAAAGGATATAAAAAGAAAATTTTATTCTAATAGCATACCTTTAGTTTAACTTCGTTCCCATACCAACAATACAAAAAGATTTGTGTCAGCATGCACGACATATATAATACTAATTCAAGAACTTTCGCATTTGTCTTAGTTAGTTGATATAAAGTAACACACACTACCAATGTACTTACTATAAATTGAACGGTAATGATTAATCTGAACTTCTCATTCACCATAAAGGCAAACCTAAAACAAATTTTAGATGTAAATTTTAGATATTATATTGTTTAATTTTCACTATATATAAGTGTGTGTGATATTTTCTATACAAATTAAAAAATCTTTTTTTTGCAAAATTATAAATAAGATTAATATCTAAAACATATTAAACACAATATTATTTTTTTAGCATTTTCTTTATAATTTATTTTTCATACACTATTAATAAAAATACTATCACATGTGTTACATGAAAATTACAAAAGAAATATACAATTTTAACAATAAACTTCTAACTATATAAAACAAACTTGATCATGAGATTATGTTGAGCGACGTAATCACGAAGAATTTTTGGATTATGTATAACTCTTTTCATACGAGAATTCAATATTTCTATTTGACAGCATATGTGTAAAATTAATCCACATATCAGACTGTCGCAAGCAACATGCAGAAGGGCCCCTACAAGTAGGCCTATCAACTGATGAAAGTACATAAAGTGAAAAAGTACTGTTGAAGTGTAATCGAACGGTAACCAGGCTCTGAACAATAACTTTCCTTTCCAGTAGTCCGTGAACAATGATTGTATCACTGTGTATAAGCTTGACAATTCAACTAGAATCGCATAATGCAGCGTATTCACTCTGTAATTGACTATTGGCAGTTTTACATTGGTTATTTATTTACTTTTATAATTATTATTTATTTTTAATTTTTATTCTCTTCAATACCAATTATTATAATCGCTTTCTTTCTAATAATCTTGTTTAGAAGAAAGTTGCTAACAAAATTGTAAAATTTTCAGATTGAAGAATATATATTATTATTACACGTATAATAAATAAATAGATATGTACTTACTCGATAAGTCTATCAAATTTCTGTCGAATTTCTATCTCATCTGGTTCCACTGGTTTACATGGTTTTTTTGTAAGAATATCTGTTAGTATCGCGATACTGTCGCGATTTACCAATAAATTAGACATTTTAAAACAACAAACAATCATAGTAATAAGCATATAGAAATTGTCAGTAAAGTCGTCCGGATTGTCCACGATTAGTATTAGATCCAGGAATTGCGATAGTGTAGACGTATTTATTAATAGAAATATGAAAATTGCATAAACATAATACAGGAGACGTCTGTAGGAAGATATCCAAGAATCCGGTGTCCAGCAACCACAGAGTGTTAAAATTGTAAATGTAAAGTCTAATACTCGCATTATAACTTCGAATTACTCTTACTATCTATTTTTTAAATATAAAATTTTAAATATAAAAAATAAATTACTCAGCTTACGACAATTTTCTTCTCTTAAATTACAAAAGATTGTACACTTTATAATCATTTATTATATGTAAATATTATAGATAAATTAGTGTCTCACTTTGCGTAAATTAACGATTGAAACCTAGTTGCTAATCAACAATTTTATTTAATATACTTCTTTAATTGCTGCGGTGTTAAAATCTTTTTATAGTGGTCTTTTTATACTGGTATAACTTGCTATAAAATCTTTTAAGAGACTGACAAAATGTCTATAGTCTCGCGGCTTCTTGACAATAATATTCTCCGCTTAACTCTACCCTTCTTTGATAACTACTTTCATTATTCAGATTGTAATTGTGTTTCTCAGATATAATATTCTTATACATCAATCATAAAAAGCAAAGTCCTCTTAGATAATGGTTTTATATTATGACATAAACTATCGTAAAAAGAAAACCATGTAAAATGATATCTTAGTAAGTGCAGTCGAAGAAGAATAAAAATGTTTTTTCATTTTAAATACTTGCATCATTTATATAAGATTATATCCTTAATTTATCTCTTTTTCTTCTTTATGACAACTTGCACTTTTTTATTAAACCAGTTAATGACTATTATCTGTTAATAGTGAAAGTAGCATATTTCCTTATTTTTTGAGAATGTCTTTTTTTCTTTATATGGTTATATTTAGACTCTCTTACATATATACCAGTTAATTTAAATGCAATAAGATTTATTGAAGGCTACGATCCTTCAACCATAGTATTTTTTATGCACTAACTAAATAATACAATTGTTAAAAGGAGATTTAATATAATATCATGACATAATAATATCTTATTAAAAAATACTTTGTGAAATTAGATGTCAGAGAAAAACCTGAGCTGATAAAAGTAAAAAACATAAATCTTCCAAATCGTCAATAATATAATATATCTCTGTCTTTCAATCTATATCTCTTTATGTCTTTATATCTTTCTTCATTTTTTTTTGCCGAATGTCAGAAAAAAATGTGGAGTTCATAGTCATATTGCATTTGATAATTTTCCAATCAAATGTTTTAACACACACTCATATTAGGGTAAACTATGTAGAATCTTGCATATATATGTATATTAATCAAATTTATCCAAATACGAATATACTATAAGATATTGATATATTATAAATCAAGATAATATATAAAAACATATATCATCATTAAACATATAAATCATTTTGTTGTAATACTATATATGTAATATTATTTATGAAATATTAATTACATAACATATTGTTTCAATATCGAGAAAATATTATTTTAATTTCTGATTTACATCGCATTATTTCTACAATATAACAATAAGATATAACAATAACTGAATAACAATCTTCTATTTACCTTCGACATTTTCATTTCGCATTTGCTGAAGTATATTATAAGTCGAATATGACATCTTGAGCAACTAAAATATAAACAAGTTATTTTTAATAAACTTAATATTTTATTAATTTTATAATTTTTTATTTTTTTTAGAATGATATACAATAGTCAATACTGATTGTATCGTAAGAAATATAATTTCACTGTGAAAATAGATTTATTATACTAACACCCACAAATGAATCGAGATTCATGGGAAAAATGTAAGCGCTCGTAAATTCGATGGGAACTGTACCGCATCTTGTAATTGTCAATAAATCTTTCTTTACATCTTCTCTCAGCATAAACCATTCTATTTCAAATAGGTTATTGGTCAATTGCATACTCTGCATCAAATAAAATATTTCTTCATTTTAAGCTCAAATGTGAAAAGAATAAAAAGAAATTAATCTAGAACAGATTAGTGTTTTAATTTCTTTAATACTTTATCTGACATGGTATAAGTATTATTTGAAAAAGTTTTATATTTATTAGTATGTATGCATACATCTTATATGTATATTATATACATATTAAAATATTTAAAAAATATTAATTTTTAATTTAAAAAATATTAATATGTATGATATTACAAAATAAAAAAAATCTTCATGTAGAACATCAAAAGAATTTATTTTAATGCACACCTTTAGTTTAACTTCGTTTCCATACCAACAATACAAAAAGATTTGTGTCAGCATTGATGACATGTACAATCCTAATTGAATTATATTCGCATTTGTCTTGGTCAGTTGATATAAAGTAACGCACACTACCATTGTACTTACTATAAACTGAAAGGTAATGGTCAATCTAAATTTCTTATTCATCATAAAGGCAAACCTAAAATAAATGTATAAATGCATGATATAATTTTCTATGCATAAATGTGTATATGTCAATGTTTTTTATAATAATAAGATCTTTTATTTTACAAAATTATATATAAAAAATTAATATCCAAAATATATCAATGACAATATTATTTTAGAATCTTCTTTTTAATTTATTTATCATAGACTATTAATAAAATTACTATCATATTATATTTATATAGAAGTTGCAAAAGAAATAAAAATTCCAATAATAAAGTACAAATTTTATAAAACAAACTTGATCATTAGATTATGTTGGATGACGTAATCACGAAGAATTTTTGGATTACGTATGACTCTTTGCATACGATAATTCAGTATTTCTATTTGACAGCATATATGTAAAATTAATCCACATATCAAACTGTCGCAAGCAACATGTAGAAGAGCCCCTACAAGTAGGCCTATTAATTGATGAAAGTACATAAAGTGAAATAGTATTGTCGAGGAATAATCGAATGGTAACCAGGCTCTAAACGTTAACTTCCCTTTCCAATAGTCCGTGAGCAATGATTGTATCACCGAGCTTGAGCTTGAAAATTCAATTAGAATCGCATAATGCAGCGTATTCACTCTGTAATTAACTATTGACAGTTTTATATTCATTATTTATTTACCCCTACAATTGCTATTTATTTACTATTTTCTTTAATCTTAATTGTTATAATCTTTTGTTCTAATAACCATTTAGGAAAAACTTGCTAACAAAATTGTAAAATTTTCAAATCGAAGAATATTATTGTAAAGTTATGTTGTATCACATACTTACTCGATAAGTTTATCGAATTTTCGTCGAATTTCTATCTCATCTGGTTCGATTGGTATACACGGTTTTTTCATAAGAACGTCTGTTAGCATCGCAATATTGTCGCGATTTACTAACAAGCTAGACATTTTAAAACAGGAAATAATCATGGCAAGAAGCATGTAGAAATTGTCGGTAAAGTCATCCGGATTGTCCACGATTAGGATTAGATCCAGAAATTGCGATAGTGTAAACGTACTTATTAATAGAAATATGAAAATTGTATAAATATGATACAGGAGACGTTTGTAGGAAGATGTCCAAGAATCCGGTGTCCAGCAACCACAGATTGTTAAAATTGTAAATGTAAATTCTAACACGCGCATTGTTACTTTAAGTTACACTTACTGCCTATTTTTCAAAAATAAATTATTTAACTAACGATAAACACCTTCTCTTAGATTAAACAAATTTGAAAATATATACGCTCTCTTTATAGTTATTTATTAAAATTAAATTTCATAGACAAATTATATATGCCTCAATTTGTGTAAATTAATGATTGAAATACTTAGATAGTAGTCAACAATTTTATTTAATATGTGTTTAATTGCTACGATGTTAGAATTGCTTTTATAATGGTATAATTCACTGTAGAACTCTTTTAAGAGACTGACAAATGTCTATAGTCTCGCAGTTTCTTGACGAAAATATTCTTCACTTAACTTTCCCTCTTTCCTTATAACTTTCATTATTATAACTTTCATTATTCAGACTTCAATTGCGTTTTCTAGATATTCTCATATATCAATCATAAAAAATAAAGTTCTCTTACATACTGGTTTTATATTATGCATTATACATAAAATTTTTTGTGGAGATAAGACTACTTAAAATGATATCTTAGTAAGTCAGAGGAGAATAAAAATATTTGTCATTATTAAATAAGTAAATATTTATCATTTTAAATAATTGCCTCATTTATATGAGATTATATCCATAGCTTATCTCTTTTTCTTTTTTATAGGAACTTGAACTTTCTCAGAATTTATCCATAAACCAAATTAGTGACTGCTGCCTGCTAGCAATAAAAATAGTATTTATATTTCCTTTGTTTACTTTTTGTGAATATATTCTTCTTCTCTACGTGATTTTCTATATTCGGGCTCTCTTTTTATATAATACATATGACAATTAATGTTGATGCACAAAATTTTTTGGAGGCTACTGATTTCTCAACTGTGACAATAGTTCGGATTTCTTAAGCTGATATTCAAAACATGAGCTTCTAAGGGACTATAGTTTATTTGTATAGAAAAATAATATTTGAAAAGTGCTTGTATCATATTGTGTGAATCTTGTTGATGGTAGTAAATTTTTCACATTAACTTTTTTCATTATTTCTAATCAATATAAAATATCTTCAATACGTAAATAAAAAGTGATCAAATAATTTTTTAAACAATTTCTCATTAGGTTAATCATATCATTAAGATAATATATATTATTAATATGTGAATAAAAATACTTTATATCAAGAGATATCTATTGTATAAAATAATAACAAAATTGAGAGAGAGAGAGAGAGAGAGAAAGAGAGAGGGAAAGAGCATCATTTTTATATTTATCTATTAATATTATTCAATATAGAAGAACATTAATTACAATGATTTAATTCATTTCTATACATATATATTTTCATATGCCATGATTCATATAAACGTGGGGTATAGTATTTTTGTTAAATTTGTATTTTTGCTTCAATTCTGCATCTGTTGAAGTATATTATAAGCAGAATACGATGTCTTGAGCAACTGTAATAAAAGGTAAAACAAAGTAAAGTCATTTGATTTACTTTAGATGTATTTTTTTAATAAATTAATAATCTTTTCCTTAAAATACAAAATCTAACAACACAAATAATAATATGTCAAACTTTTAAATATTGAAATCTTAAATTTGTATAAATTTATAATTTATTAAATAAAAGCGTTAATAAAATTTCATGTTAATCTACTTAATAGTTCTATTTTAAATGACTTTATTATCATTATATCTACGTTGAGATATTAGAAAAATCTATAAATGAGAAATTATAAATGTGAAATCGATTGAAAGTAAAAATAAATTTTTATACTAACAGTGACAAATGATTCAAGATTCATAGAGATAACATAAGCACTGGTGAATTCAATAGGTATCATACTACGTGTCATAATTATTAACAAACTCTTTTGCACGTTATGATCCAAAGTAAGCCATTCCATTTCGAACACGTTATAGATTAGTTGTTGACTCTATACTTAAGAATATGAGAAAATTTATTAAATATTTTTTTAATTAGTAAGATAAGATAAATATTTAAATTGCATGTATTATTTTGCAGGTTAATTCTATATATCTATACAAAAAAAATGAAATAAAGATATTTAAATTGATTTTAAATAAAAATTAATACATTGATTTTAAATAAAAATTAATTAATTATGCTTTTTGGTGTATTTCTAATGCTTTTTATGTTTTGTATATTTCTTTTAGTATATATCTAATGTTACATTAAACTTTAAAATACATGCATACATGATATAAACAAATTCAAAATACCAGAAAAAATAAAACATAAGAAAAAAATATAGAAAAAAATATAAAAAAAGATATTTTTTGTTTTTTAAAAAGTGCATACCTTAAGCTTGACTTCATTTCCATACCAGCAGTAAATAGAGATTTGTGTCAGCATGCAACACATATATAACATTATTTGAATAGATTTCGCATTTATGGTCATCTGTGTCATTTGATATAGATTAAAACACACTACCAACATACTCACTACAAATTGAACAGTAATGATCGATCTAAACTTTTTGTTTACCATAAACGCGAATCTAGAATCGATCAGAGACATATAACTTTTAAACATTTTTAAAATTATTTTATACACAAACACATATATATATTTGTATTAGAAGAAAATTCTTATTAATAAAAAACTGACTTAGAGATGCATGTGTGCTGCATGATGCATTCACGAAGAAAATGCGAATTATTTACGATTTTTCTCAGATGACATTCGAATATCTCTATTTGAGAACAAATATGCATCAATAATCCGCAAATTAAACTGTCGCAGGCAATCTGGAGGACCGATCCAGCCGTCAAACTTATTGACTGATGCACATAAGCGATTTCAAATAACATCGGTGAAGAATAGTTGAATGGTAACCATGCTCTGAAAGGTAATTTATCCTTTCTGTAATCTCTAAAGAATGATGTTACTAATGCAAACGCGCATGTCAATTCAACTAAAGTTGCGTAATATAGTGTGTTTTTCCTGTAATAAATAGTTATATTTTTTAGATTTTACTATTTAATGTATTTATAATGATTGTAACTTTTTAATTAATATAAAATTAATAATCTAATTTATCATTATGTAAAAATTAATTTCATAATCTACTTTTTAAAAAGATTGCACTGTATACAGAGAGAAAATTTAATTATATAGAATTTCTGTATTTAATATCTTTTATGTATTTTATGTATTTTCTATAATATATGTAATAGTATCTTTCAAAAAATAATCCTATATAATAAGTGATTACATTAATTACTGAGCATTTTGCATAATACTTACTGTATAAGTCTGTCGAATTTCTGTCGAATTTCTATTTCATCAAGTTCGATGGGCAGACATGGTTTCTTCATCAAAATATCAATCAGCATCGCAATATTGCTGCGATTTCTCAATAAACTGAACATCTTGTAGCAACATACGATCGAGGTAAGCGTCATATAAAAATTCTCGGCAAAATCGTCGGTATTGTTGACACTCAGAATTATATCCATTAATTGTGACAACATAAATGTACTTATTAACAGAACTATACAAACTGTATATACAGCATACATAATACGTTTGTATCGTGATGTCCATGAATTCGGTGGCCAACACCCGCAAATAATAAGAATTTGAAATGTAAACGTGAGAATACTCATTCTTTTTCTTTTTTTTTTTTACTTATTTGGCAATATTATATTATAAGAAAAAATCTCATTATGCAAAAATACACTTGATAAAACACTAATAAAAAACACTTTGTATCACTTAGCTTATATTTCTTTATTTTAATGCCATTTTTGAAAAGAATGATTATTGCATTATATAATATTGCATGTTTATTTTTGCATGTTCATTTTTCACCATAATTTACGATATAATTCCCGATTAATTAGATAAATAATAGTAAAAATTATACAATTGTAAAATAATTAGATACAATAAAATTTTGAGTTAAGGAATTATCCGTGTATCGAAAAATTTGAGAAACAAAATAATGAATTTCTAACACAATATGTTATAATTATTATTATTAATTTGTAAATTATATATTAAGCGCATTATAATAATATTCAAATTATTTTTTGTAGCAATATGAAAAAGGGAGAGAACGAGAAAATTTCACTGACAAAATACAAAAAATCTACAGCCTTTTGCAATTCAACTTCTGGAATTTCTGCTTCGTGAATGCATTATATTATTACAGTGGTATAAAGCTACCGTCTCGAGGAACACAATATTTTCGCGAATGTTTTAAAATACATATCTTATATATGATCTTATGATGTGAATGTAATGCCACATTTATGTCCATATCATTTATATGACTTACAGCCCAACGTCATGTCATATAAGCTAACTATCAATTATGGTATATGAAATCTTGATGCAGACGACTTTTATATACGTACAGTTTTAAATTATATTCAATTTATTGCTGTCGTACAGAAATGCAGTTAAACGTTTCAGCACGCGTATTCTAATACTTATATATTCAATTCTTACATCATCTATTATTGCAGAAGTCAAAGAGAAAACATACAATTTATAATAACTGAAGAATTATTTATATAATTTTATTAACAAAATGCATCGAAATTAAAAGAAACATGCACATTATTAAAACAACGTAAAATAGTAAGTAATAGCAGCATATAATATCAAGTTCAATTATTGGAATAATATATTATATGTTAGATTTTATTACTATAAATTAAAATTGAATATAAGGATAAAGTTTATCAACACATATAAAGCATATTACAAAACATATAAAACATATCGAAATAAAAAAAATGCACTCTCAAATATATATATTATAACTATTATAATCATAATTATAAAAGAGATTAGATTATATATATGTCAAAAAGTTTCCGAGTATTTAATAATATTTAATTTTTTGCTTGTATATATATGTGTGTATGTGTATTATACATTTAGATATTTGCTTATTCTTCATTATTTTTTATTATACATAATACATTTATATATTATATTCTTATTCTTCAGAAATCTTCGTTATATATAATTTTGTAAAAAATTATTGGAATTGGAGTTAGCCTATCAAATAAAATTTATTAATTTCAATAATTTCAATTTTAATTTAAAATTATCTAATATACATACATTTTATTTCTTATCACTTTATGATATCAAGAAATTAACAGCCGGTTATTCATCGACCGGAGGTAACAATGTTAGTAAGAGTATTGAACCAACCTGTCGTTGACAAGATGAAAACTCAAGTAATGTTTGAAGAATAAATTTGCCAACTGATAATAATTTGTTTTATCGATAATAATAATAAAATGTTATAATTGTGAAAATTTTTAGCTATTCTTTGTTATTATCGAAAGTATAATTGTTATAAATCTATATTATTAGGCAAAACATACTACATTTTTCATATTTTTATATATATTTCTAATATTTTTTAATAATTTTTTTTATAATTATGTATTTATAATTATTTTTATTCAAATCATTAATATATATATATATATATATATATATATATATAAAATCGTGTTAATATGTATCGTGTATGCATAAAATCTATAACAATACTATCTCTTATGAGATCTGCCAACAGATGACTCCGTATTTTCAAATGCTCATAGTATTCAGGTCTCACATACTCTCTCTTATTACAATAAAATATTAATCAACACAAAAAATTAATTTTTTGATTAAATTTAATTTAATGTAAGTTAATACTATGTTAATTATGTTTAATTTATACAAAATTAATATTTACATTTTCTCAAAAATAAAATTATTTGACGTAAGAATTTTTTATGCAGATTATTATTTATTAGCTAAAAGCTATGTTAATTACTTATAGATTTTTACAAATTAATAATCGATATTGTCGATAACAACTATATCTTTGAGAGTTAATATTCTATCAAATATGGACTAAGTCAATGCCCTGGTTAAATCAAGATCTGTTATCGACCACATAAGCGGTCTCATATATCACATCTGCACGGGATGGACCGTTGCCGTGTGAAATTCCAACGAGAGGGCGAAGACAAGGCGAAAACCCAAGGGTGAAGCGGGGTGAATCTGATCGCACTGAAAGAGTCGGGGTTGTCAGTGTTACGATATAGGGTCTGTCCTTATCTGCGAAATACAGGCAATGTCTTCCCCCTCTCTTCTGGTACTCGATGTCCCTCGTGTTCGTTGTCCTAAGTCCAGGAGAGAAGAGCGAACAGTATACGCCATGATGAATCGGCCATATTGCCCTAGACCGTTTCTCGAAAGAGGGTTAATCCTGCTTGTTCACTGTTATTTTGTCAAATATATTCTCGCTTTTTTTCTCTTTGTGAATGAAAAGATTTTAGTAAATTTAACAGCAAAATATCCTTGTTTAATTGACAGTAACATTTTCGATAAAATCAAGGCTCAAATAATTATTTAAAAAAATCTATTTTTTTAGCTTTTATTTCTTTTTTAAATTATTATATATTTTATATATAAGCTTCTTTTGAAAACAAACTTGTATTGAGTAAAATAAATTATTGAAGCTTGTAGATAAAATTTGAATTAAAATTCGGAAAATAGACTTATTGCAAATATTAATTTTATTATAAAATTACATTACAGACTGCATATATCTCTTTCAACATATACAGCTTTCAAGTTTTACAGATAAAAATTTTGTAATGTTTATGATTATAATATTCCCTATGATTCCCATCGTAAAAGATGATAAAAGATGATAATCACCTTATCAGTAACACAGAACGTGACAACCTTGCGTGGAAACTGATTCTCTGAAAATATGTATCTTTTATATTCTCGAGTCATGCTTTAACATCAGTTATGACCACGAGCAACGGATTTCATATTCGTCTGCGCTGCACGGTATATACAGAGTGTCTCAAAAGTACCGTGTTTTATTTTATTCCTCTACTTAATCTTACTTTTTTTGAACAATTTTTTTTCTCGTATTTCGGATTATGCGATCGTTCGAATCTCATTCATCAATCGTGATGGAATCTCAAAGAAAAAAATAAATTTTTCGTTACTTTGTTCGTTCAGCGTTCGTGTTAATATTTAATTGAGTGTTATAACGAGACCTCAATTATTATCTCGCGTTTTTACTTTGGACTCGTTCCTCGCATTCTTCGCGAGTCGGCCACCGAGTACAATTAACGAAACCTACCGTCTGGTCAGCTCCTGTTGTCCTTAGTGTGAACTTTACAAGACTTATATAATGCATGCGTAAGAAGAATGGACCACCCATGTAGAGAGGTCTCTCTCTCTCGACTCGGCCTCGAGTGCTCTCCGGGGTTGCGCGCGCGGACGAAGCACTCCATCAGAAGAAGTAGTCGGCCGGACAGCATACCGGGTAGAAAATGACACCAGTCTCGAGATGTACGTTTCGTATCAGTCGAATCGAACTCTCGAATTTTTCTTCAACGCGAACCGCGTTTTCCCTTTTCGCATTTTTGCGATAATAGAAATTTTTTACGTAAACGACGAGCGTTGATTTTAACTGGCATTTTATAAAGATTTCATGTACTGTTTTTGTCGGGTAGGCATCTTTATCTTCTTCATTTTTCTTGTACTTATTTTGAAAGAAAAAACAAATTGTTAGTTCACAAAAACCAAACAAAAAATAAATAATAATTAATAATAATTAATAATAATTATAATAAGAAATAAATAATTACCATTGCTTTTTGTATTTTTTCGTGAGTTTTGCTGTTGAGGTGTCTTAAGAAATTATACTTGGTACGGGTTTCAAACTCATATGCATTACAATAGAAAGTCTAAAAAAAAAAATTTCTTTTCTACTTTTTTTAAATAGAGTCTTTAATTTTATACAAAAACGCGTCAATTAATCGCGCCCATTTGATCAACGAGCGACAGCATCCATACGTTGCAACGGCATGGACGCATATCCTGTGGAGAAAGCATTCACACATTTTTCAGCCCAAAGAATAATTGCTAGAAAACAATATTCGCAGACTAGAAAGATATGTGAGGCTGAATCAGGAATTGAACGCGAATTTTTCACTTTCCGGGCAACTGCTCTAGATCACTGAGCTATCCAGACCTCACACCTAATGCTGCTTTTTAACATAGTGATATGCGACTCCAGAGCGATGAGTGCAATGCTGATGCTATAGAGGATCCTTGAAAAGGTTACTGACCAAATAAGTGCCAAAAAAACATGTATTAAATATACTGTAAACTTAACATCTAATATCTTAATATCATCGGTATGATATTAATCATGATAATGATTATAAAATTTCTCGTGTATCTACATCAGCAAATCATCGTTACGATATTTTAAATATAAATTTTTTGACGCATTAAAAACAATACTTTCGCCGAAAACTAAAAACACTTTCTGAAATCAACGCTTGCGAACGTGAAGAATCCCATCGTTCTCTGTACACGATTTTCGGAACACGTTGTATAACGCAAACCTGTAGAAAGTACACCTGAATAACGAGACGCGCTGCTGTTCCTTCGAGAAGAGTGGCAGAGGTCGAAGATTTCAGGTCACTACGTCTCGAGAGCATAATGCATTGCAGCGAGGGAAAGAGTTGTGTAAACGAACTTTCATGAACTTCCGAAAGTCGTCGCTTTTTCACATCTTCACTGTCGTTCCCATCCTCGCCACGATCTTTTCGTGCGTTTGCG